CAATAGAAAAAAATTATGCCAGAAATACCAAACTAGGCTTTGACTATTGGGAGAAGGAATAGTTTTATTTTTATTTATTAAGACGACTACGATATTCTAGGCGAGTATATCTCTAAAAAGTATTGTTTTGTTAGGGTATAACACTGTTTTGTCAAAGCCGTTAGGCGACTATAAATCAAACGCAAAATTATTTTTATAATTAAAAAACATCAAACAAAAAATATACTTTTGGATAATTATTTTATTAACTGAACATGCAATCTGCAAAATGGTGAACTGTGAACTAAGAAAAAGAAATCAACAAGGAAAATCAATAATGTAAAAACTATGGAGTACGAACAACAGAGTTTTAAGACGGAGCTATCAGCCATTTTCCTCCCCGTACGACTACCACCGTGTTGAAAAGACGCCAAGCTTGTGGTTCACAAAAATCGAATCCGCCTTCGGAATTTTGACATATGCGTACACTCTTAGGGCTTTATCTAGACTCTGAATCAGAGCATCAGAGGTGTCAATTAGACGTTCTTCTTCTTCGTATTCTTATATGAATAATCTTAATCTATAATTTTCGCCGCTATGAAGTAGTGGTGTATCCGGAGGTCCTCTTAGATAAAGTTACAAGAAAATCAGAAAGCTGATCACTGACAGCTTTCAAAGTAATGACAAATGAAACACATTCAGCACTCAGTATAGTTACATCTCATTGAACTCCTATTTTTAAGCTTTATACGTTAGAGGCTTTATACGTTAGGAGCGAGTTATGTAACCTAGCATTAGTTAAGTTACATATATAATATATTTTTGTAAATAATTAGAAGCATAAACCTTAGCAAAATAAAATTTTTAACAATCTGTTGCACACTTGAAGCCATAATGAGCCCTTCAGTTTTTCCCACACTCATAAATTGTAATATAACATTCTCGTTTCCGACAATGTCCAATAGGTCAACTACACTTATATTGAAGTGTCACTTAGATTTAAGAACCCTTAAATAAGCCAACTTAGTTTTTTGTTAATCCAGCGTCTCAAGCCCACTACCCCTAATTTTATGTTAGTTATAAACTCATGTTTTAAACGATTAAACCCAGTTGATACCCAGCTCAAACAAAGAGTTTAATTTAACATATATTTAAACATCCCTCAACAACCGCCACCGAACTTAACTGGCGCAAAGAGAAATCTTCAAATATAAAAGGGCAAAACGTGGGTGTCGGTTGTTCTTATTAGAAGATATTTTTATGACATCGATTTTTAACATGATAATATCGTCATACTTAGTATTTTTTTTTAAACTCAATCCATTTTATTATCAATATCTAGTACTATAATTTGCCTGAACTTCATAGAATATTAAATCCTTCAAACCGGTTCATAAATAAATGTAAAAAAGTGCGTACGTACAAAGTACACATTTCAGAAGTGAAACTTCTTTAGTAAACTAATTTTTAAGTCTTGTTCATATTTATACAAATCTAAAACTTTAGATTTCTGAGAGGGAGGGAAAAAGGAAGATATGTTATGAATTTAATTGTCAATCAAATTTTAAATGTGTCGAAAATTAATACAAATTAATTTAATTTTTTAAATTTATTTCTTCGATAATAAAAACACGTGGCATTTTAATTTACAATTCGTAATTTGCGATTTCAATAAATTATTTTGCATAAAATACTAATACATATTTCATAAATTCACTTTCCGAAATTTTAAAATTTCTCTCTCTCAATCGGTCTCAATCGCTCTGTCGCTCAGCTCAGCTCTACGACAAAAACGCTGCATCTGAAACATCTTCGTGACGTTTTCGTAAAAATTTACCCCCATGCTCCTAAAGAAGTTCCACTTCAAAAAGTCAATCTTACCTCTTTCCTGCCAGGACCATAGGTGTGCTTCTTTTTATTAGTAGATAATAGATATTATTTATTTCATTAGATAAAAAAATAAAGTTGCATGGTTTTTTTTAATGTAACAGGAGACAAACGAGCTGGAGGTTCATCTGATCTTAAGTGATACTCCCGCCCATGGACTCACATTGCCAGAAGGCTCGCAAGTGCGTTGCCTGTCTTTTAATTAATTTGCGATATTTGTTTTAAATAAGTGTTGTTTGATGATTTGCTGTTTTAAAAGAGTACCGAGAGTTTTATACGCCGGCTTTTTCTCTCGGCCTACACACTCTGTCTTCTTTGCCGATGAGTAGGGATGCCTTCAAATTTAATGACGTGGAACAGGTGATACATGTATCTTATGTTCCATAATAAACATATTTTTTATTTTTTTATTTTAAGCATTGGTACTCTCTTTTCTTGAATTGGTTCGGATTGTTTTAACAAATATATTTTACAATTACAGAAATTTAAATTCTGCTCTGACGGAGACTGTCCGCTGTGGGCGTTAGCTGGTCTCCATGCTCTAAGCAGTCTACCTGCACCACTCTTTAGGAACCTTCTGCATCATGTACTGGAGGAACAGCCTGTGAGTTGCTTAACCTATGTGTACGTAAAATAAAAGCATTAACTGCTAGTTTAGTTGTTTGAGTCTTATTATCAAGACTTATACAATATATCTAAGTTGCATTCTAAATAACATATTAATGCAACGAAGAAATTAAGGAATTCTAACTATTAACTGTCTATTTTACAGTTTGTATAAATCAGATCTAGCTTGTATAAAGCTTCACTTGCGATACCCTTTAAAAAAGTTTATTGCATCTTAAATAAAGGTAAATAATAAATCGTTTTTATTTTAACGTTTCTTTCATACATACCTTTACCTTCACAATTCATCTAAACTCCATTAATTTCAATCAGGTCATGATTTAATGTAGATTCCAATGTAATAAATCTAATATTTATATAGATTATTAATATGCTTTATGTACATATAATTCTGTTGTACGATCAATTTCAATAAAATTCAAAATAATTTAGTCCTGAAACGTAGGTGAAAATTAATTCGGTTTTCTTTACCAACATTATAATCTATTTTTAATTCAAACAGGCTTTAGCAAAGTTTTGAAGTTCCAAGACGATTGATAAACTTCAATTTGGTCTGTTTAAAAGATTAATTACTTACGAATTAATCTATAGCAAACTAGATTGAAAATCACGTAGAAAGTAATAAAACCAGTAATTGATAAGTCTAAAACTAAGCTTATTATTATATTATCACGTTTTGAACTTTTGACTACAAAATATTAAATAAAGAGATCGAATATTATAATATATGATGGGTTCGAAAACTCGATTTTTAAAACCTTCGAGAATATATATCTATGTATCCTGATATATTTAATAACTTAAAGGCGATTTATAATTTGTACTAAACTTCCAGGTGATTGGATCTTAAACCTTACTAGGGGAATATGTGAATTAAAAATTTGTTTTTGTAATATTAAAACACGAAAAAAAACCGCATGCATCGAAATTCGATCAGAAAAGGATTGAAAATAGCTACCTAATGTTGTTTTAAGATCACGGTACGCAGATACTAATGTGAAACTTATATATTCCATGAAGCGTAGATTCATAAATATTTTTCACGATTCTTTGAGGGAGGTTTTTTCGTTATTAGTTTATCTTACAAAGGGATGAAAGAAAGCTGAAAGCTGTCGGATCGTTACTTAGATGCGCATTAGAACAAAAAGTAAATTCGTACAAAACACTATTTCATCTAGATGGTCTATAAATTAATAGTATTTTAACTGTATAGATGTATAGTTTCTTATGATAGCTGAGATAAGAAATTAAAAAAAAAAGGTTTGATTTATAGTATACTAGCGACCCGCCCCGGCTTCGCACGGGTGCAATGTTGATACTAAATTCAAAGTGCTATAGAGTATAGGCTATAGGGATTAGGGAGAACCGCGGCGTCCCGCACCCGCCGCGCTGGCCGGTACCGCGGCAAACGCTACGTCCCGCAATTTTTAAATCTGTAATATCTTAGAAAATATTCATTTAAATCATATGCTGTAAAGGGCCATATAGATCTATATTAAATCAACAATGTATTTAATTGGATAAGGATTAATGCGGTATTGGTTAAAATCGCTTCGAAAATTATCCATTATATTTTTTCGTAAAAAGTAAATGACAAAAAATGTTATTGTGGGATATCCATAAGAGATAGACATATACCATCGCGGAGTTTTCTGTAGACCTTTTCAATGTGTACAATACTCAGTACATTATTTTGATAAATCTCGTAGGGTTCAGCCTGCGCTTGCAATGTAAGCGGAAAAAATGTAATTATTTACGACATCACATTAAACCTCAAAAATAACAGTATTTCTCCACTATTTGATGGATGTTATTATCTTAATATATATATTTCTTGTGTGCGTGTGTATGTGACTGAACTTCTCTCAAACGACTGGACCGATTTTGATGAAATTTTTTGTGTGTGTTCAAGGGGATCTGGGAATGGTTTAGATTCACAAATCAGCCCGGCAGATGGCACTGCAGTCGGTACTTTCATACTTTGCTTAATATCCTAATCGCTTTAAATATCATGCAGGACAACGTCTGTGGGGTCCACTAGTATATATATAAACCTTCCTCTTCAATCACTCTATCTATTAAAAACCGCATCAAAATCCTTTGCGTAGTTTTAAAGATTTAAGCATACATAGGGACAGAGAAAGCGACTTTGTTTTATACTATGTAGTAGAAATGCAAAAACATAAAAAGTCTTATGCACTTAAAACTAATAAAACTCCGCCAACGTTTCAAACTCAAACTCAAAATATCTTTATTCAAGTGGGTAACCAAGTACACTTTTGAATCGTCAAGTTAAATTATCCTAAATTTACATTTACTACCAGTTCGCAAGTCAAGGGCGTAGAGCGGGTAAGAAGAACTGGCAAGAAACTTTCCGCCACTCTTTTTAATCGCCAAATTCTATTATATTGATATTTTTTTTCGCTTGTTTTACGGCAACAAACCGAATAATTTTTTCTTAACATAACTATAATTCCTTTTACGAAAATTTTCAGGATGACGTTATCATGGATATTCTAAAGGACACTAACCTATGTAAGTATTTATGTGTGGTAACTAAATTTCAGAAAAGTCTAAAATATGGTCGTGCTTTTGATCTATTGAATTCATACTTAATGTAAAGTAAGAAATATATCCGTGAAACAATAATTTGTCTATGACACACAAATCAATAAATTTGAGAATGTACCTCTTGTCACCGATAAGACGACTTATCTCGTCATTAAGGAAAATATAACTAATATTTTACTAAATATTAAAGCTTCTCGTGAAGAATGCGCACGCGCCGCTGCAGTACTACGATGGACGTTACGTCAAGCGCATAGATGCGCATGCACCGGTGTGCAACTGGCTCGTGATTTATTGGTACTTGGCGTGCCTAGAGCACACGCGGCAGCACTGGCTGAAGCGGCTGATAACACTCGAGATGCTTATGAGGCTAATGTTAAGAGCAACGGTTTTATAAGTAAGTTTGGTTACCTATTGTGTATTAGGATTTAGTAGTATTTTACCTTTATATCCAACCAATCGTTCACCTTCAAACTTTAATGTCCAATCCTTATTTGTTTAAAATTTATGAATACAACAGATATAAAATAAATAAAATAAAAATCTGTTTATTCATTTTAAGTAGGTACATATGACGATATGCAACAGTCCATGATTATTAGTTATGAAGATGAAACAAGATGTCACTCTACCAATAGCGCATCGATACAGATACCGGCAAACTTTTTGAGCATTAAACAAGGGATTTACCAATCACGCGATCGACACGTCACTCTCCCGCCACCCGCCTCCGATTGATACCTAAAAATCGCTTCTGCGCAGGCAAGGACATTTGTACAAGGTGTTTGCCGGTATCTGTATAATAAATACAGTATTTTTGTATTGCTGATTATTTTTCCAAATAGACTATACATAATTGTCAAAAAACAATTTTTTATTGTTACGCGAGATGCTAACAAAAGCCTCAAAGACCAACGTTTTAATATTTACCTTTATATAGTAGACGATGTTTTTTTTTCAGTTAATAAAATGACGGGCGTATCCGCATCGCCAGGACCAGAGGGAACTGTCGACACAGTGCAATTAACCTTTATGTCGGAAGAAGTTGTTTCTGGTGATCATATCACAACAGAATTGCTCATAGATAAGACTCAAGTCAAAGATCTATTACACGAACTCAAAACTGCGTATAATAAAATGAATGATATAGATTTAGAATAAAAAGGACTTTTCTAAATTTGTAACCTTCTTTTAGGAAATCGTTGCACCTTCATATGTAAAAACTATATGACTCATATTTTTATTCGTAGGTTCTCTCATGTTAATCATTATTTTTAAAACTATGAATAATTGTATTTATTCACACGTTACAAGCGGCCTTTCTCCCTAAGCGATTTCTTCCAGAAAACATTAATAACAGAAGACATACATATAAAAATAATTGTGTGTGTAAGTAAGAAGGTTACTTTAGGTTACTAGTACCTACAATATTTGATTTTATTTGAGGTCTTAATGTAGCATTTTATTTATTGTATCTTAATCTAGTGGCCAGTATTTTAAGAAGGTGTATGTACTCTTAGCCATTATTTTACGTTGTTAAAGATATTATCAAAAATACACCCCCGAAATGTACACACTTTTCTTTACTCTTAATAAATACTTGCATTCAATATATAATCATTTTTTTATTTTAAATAATATAAATATGTAGACACAATAAAATCTTGATATTTCATTTTAAATATATTATAAAAGTTATTTTTACTTTTATACTATACATTATATTTCCTAAGGTTTGAATAAAAAAGAGCAGACAGCAAAAATATTATTAATACAAGATTCATACATAACATCCATATAAATATTATCTCCAAATATAACACATTATAAATGTTTTCGTTCACCAACTTCTAATCAATATTTTTTAACCTTACAAACTGTCAGTTTTAATAAAATAATTTGAATACAGCATTCTTATTTCCTCAGACGGATGAGTTCTCATTTTCTCCAAAATTCCACAAAACAAAATGTCTTCTGGTGTTCTATATGTTTTCCTTGGTAAATCGTGAATGATTGTCAAAAAGCATTCAGCTCGTGGGTTCCGACTTAACATTGCATCAATAAAATGCATTTCCTTTTGGTTGTCGGTCGCGTGAAACAGGAAAGTCAGAGCATCAGAAAAAGACATGTAAATTGTCGGAAAGTGCTTTTCGATCTCTTCATCTAAATAATCTGCGCAAAATACCCCAAAATCTATCTGAGTTTTATGTGTTATTTCGTCTGGATCTGTCAATTGCTTTGAATTTTTGTCTAAAAGGCGCAGATAACCCAAAAACAAACGACCAGAGGTTATGAAAACGTAATTTTCATAAAACGGTAACCTTTCTTCTAATCTTTGCTGAATATCCGTAAACATTGCTAATGGAACGACAACTTTTTCATGCAAAATTTTACGATCCAAAGCACGATAGAGACTACGAAGTATTTCAATAAATGGTTGCTTTTCGGTTAAAATAATTTTTTCATCGCTTAGTAATGGAACTAACAATTTTTCATATCTCTCCATTTGTACTTTTTCAGAGCTAGTGTCTAAAATGTACTCTTCCAACCAATAAAAAGCACAGTGTTTCTTGGTTAATGTTTTATGTAATTCTTTAACTTTCTCCTCTGGATCTAACATAAATTTCTTTGTAAATTCTTGGAAATGAGTGATGTCTGTCAATGTTTTGAAAAACCTTTGAACTGTTTCGCAATATTCTGGCAATATTACATTAGGAATATCTTTTGGATAGGATAAAAGTTTAATAAATCTTGAATCTTCACAATCTGTTAAATTATCAATAAAATCACTTAATACACTCCAGTTGTGGAAGATTATTTGCCTATCAGTTGCTTCACATAATAACGCTAAAGTTTCTTGAAAAACTAGAAAACGTGATAATTTATTATCAGTAATTTTCCACATTTCTTTTAAAGCATTAGTTTTTTCTTCATAATTTAACCTTTTCAGAGCGACTTTAAGACAATGTTTTTGTAAGGATGTTTTTTTGCAAGAAGAAAATAAATATTGTAATTTTATAAATATATCACAGACTTTAAAGGGATCCATATTGTACATCAAAGAATGAATTGATGAAGCAAAATTTTGAACTTCGTTATCTTTAGACAAATTTAATGCTGTTTCCAAAGACACACAAGGTCGAAATAAGTGCAAATGTTTTGCAATCTCATTTTTTTCTTTAGAAGCTGTATCAATTTCTTGAGTATAAAAATATTTATGTAACAATTCCAGAAATTCTTTTTCAGTTAAAAGACCCCAAGGTATATCACAGTTTGGTTTATCAGTATTTAGACTTATTCTTTTAAATTCTGTTGCGATTGAATCATTCCAGTAACAGCGCAGTTTGCAAAACAATCGACGCATAGGTTTACTATTATATCTAAATGAACTATATATCTTTGTAATAAGTTGAAATAAATCTTGATTATTCATTTTCAAAACATTCATACACAAATCTTCTGGTTGGATAGCTGATTTTTCTGTTTCTAATTTCAATTTCATAGACTTAATCAAATTATCTAATTCACTGCAATCATATTTTTCATGTAGAAAGAATATTCTAAATTCTTGAATTTTTGTTAAAATTTTTGGATAGTCATTAATATTTTTATTCCAATCTTTAAACAGTTGCAATATATTTTTAATAGTTAGCATTATAGTCTCGAAATTATTAATGTCCTTCATGTCTTGCTTTTCAAGCTTGCTATTAAGGATTTTAAAAAGAAATTCAAATAATTTAACTTTATCTTCATCAGTGATCCTGTTATTAAATTCCTTGAATGTTGCATGCTTAAATTTTGTTAATAATATCTCAGGGATGTCATTGTTATGAATGATATTGTATAGTATTATACAATTAACAAATATATCATCACTTTGTAGTTTTCTTATACCATAACTTCGACGATGCCTGCCAATAATTATAAAAGGATTTGGTTTATATTTTGGAAAAGAATTATCCATTTTACTGTAAACTCCTACACTATAAAATAAAATGCTCAGTAAGTTCCATGAATCTTCTTCCAATTTAAGAATATTAATTTCATGTAAGACATGTTGCAGAAATTGTGTTTTGAATCTGAACCCTTCATGAAGGTGGCTGTCAACATAATACTGTAGAACAACTTTAATGTGGGCATAATTTTTATGAGTACTGCTTAATAGTGTACAAAGCATAAAACTTTTTTTAGCAGGATTAGACTCTACATCTATAAATCGCTTTAACTCTTGGAATGCATCATCAAATGATAAAAATTCACACCAGAGGTAGGCATTGTTCATGTTGGTTAAGCAACGGATCATTGTACAATTTCGTAAATCACTTTCATTTGAATATACTGGCTTGACTTTGCCAATGAACACATTTTTTATTAAATCAAGCTTATCTTCAAGTGGCAAACGTGCAACAAAGTATTTAAGTTTATCATATTTGTATAATGATTCATGTCTTTTACTTTGGCTATGTTTTATAAGGAACTCTTTGATTTCTTCACCGCTGAAGGATTTTACCAAAGTTGGAATGTGAATAATATTTATAAAACATATAAAATCATTCAGTGTCTTATGTGGACATCTTTTTATAAGTTTCTTAGTGGATTTAGCAGATAGTTTGTCAACTGAATAACTTGCATCAATTAAATCAAATAGAAAATTTAAATACTTTTCAACATTGTTTACTTTTAAAATACTTAGTGCCTTAAATATATTGTTATAATCATATTTATTCCTTTTACAATAAATATACACACAGTTGGATTCATTCCTGAATTTCTCTAAAGTAGAAAGTGTTATCTTTTCATGAAAGTTTTGTATAATTTCTTCAGATAAATCAACTGTACAGTATGGAAGCCATTTCAAAGCACTTTTTAAATCTTTGTCTTTAAGGTAATAAAAAAATTCATCTACTCTATCAGCATCACGCAATGTGAGGCGTATTTTAAGCATAAGCTTATTAAATGCTTTCAATGTCATATGTGGAAGAAGATTTTTATGAATATAAACTGGATTAATGATATGTTTATATTCATCATTAATTATCAGCCAATTGGACAACTTGATTGCCCGAAAGGCGTAAAGCATATCCTGACATTTAAACACATCCAATATAAAATCATAATTTTTTCTTCGACTAGCTACTTCTATTCTAATTAAATTAACCATATCTGTTTCATCATAATTTAAACATTTGATGTCAAACTTTGGATCAGAAGTTGCATCGTCAACAGCCTTATTGAAACTTCTATATTTTTCAGCTAGTGTCTCTGCTTGAAATTCAGGTGCCATTGTCTGAAAGTGAAAATTACAACTTATTTTTTTTATTTAATGGAACTTATACTAATCTTTCTTTCCTAACAGGATCAGTGACAGTTGTTGCTTGCTGACCACAATTTCTGAATAGTATTTGAAACAATAAACAAAGGTTTTTGATTTTAACAAAGGATTTGATTGAGGAAATATTTCATTACAAGTGAAAATTTTAACATCATAGGTTTTAATTAAATTCTCTCCTACTTAAACTTTATTAATAAATATATTTTTTGTAGTAGTTAAGTACTAATTCCTACCTTACTCCGACTTACTATTTACAAAAACTAGACTGAAATATTGTGCAATAGAATTAATCATCATCGCCACTACTTTAGTCTGCTAATTAACTATATTAATTATATAATATATTCTTATACACTATCAATTTTATAAAATTTACAAAAACTAGACTGAAATATTGTGCAATAGAATTAATCATCATCGCCACTACTTTAGTCTGCTAATTAACTATATTAATTATATAATATATTCTTATACACTATCAATTTTATAAAATAATTCTAAATAGTATTCAAAAGAAAACCAATACTTAGAGATTTAGCAAAAAGAAAATAATACTTACACACTGTATATTTTTTTACTATCTTTTATCACGGACATTAATTAACTGGGAGATAAGTATTCTCTTTCTGTATAATTAAGAATATAATTACATACTTTTAAATTATATTCAACTTTTCGTGTTTTCCAACTTGAAGTAACACAAGTACAACAACAGTCAACACTGAACTAGGGATGTGAAAAAATAATCGATTATTATACGCGATTTTTATATATAAAATAATCGATTAATAATCAATCATAGTCGATTTTTCATCTGCCACCTCCCGACATTATGTCTGGTCTTTTATAACCCGAACCTCGAACTATTAGGGATATTCGATATACATCGATGTTTACAATGCGATATTACATTGAATCCGATTCTTTGAAGATGTATTGATATACTCGATGCATTGATGTTTTTTTATAAAACATCGAAAGGATGATAAAACCAGTTAATTTTACAAAATCTCAAGTTTGAATGGAACACCATAATTTAAAAGTAAAATAAATTTACTCAGCAGCACAAGATTACTTACAATTAAAAAGACAACAAAAATACTGCAATGTGCCACTGAAAAGGCATACACTCGGCATTTATCAAGTTTCACCTAAAATCTATCAAAACGAGATTAAGTTAACTTCGATTTTGATTATTCTTAAACGTTAATTTTTGTTTGTAATTTCTATTGTTTATTTTTAATTAAAAAATTTAGGGTGTTTATTTTGAAATTAATTCAAAAATTATGAAAAACTTTTTATGTAGAATGTCACATCCCTACACTGAACAGTGAACTGTGATGAGTGTGAACAGTGCATACGTTGAAAGTTGAAACTACTACAATAAATATAATAATTGTAATATACTACTTAAATTGTAATATACTACTACTATAAATTGTAATATAAGTACTACTACTATAAATTGTAATATAAGTACTACTACTATAAATATCGAAGAATCATAAGTAATATCGAATACTATTATGAATTACCTGTCATGGAATATTTTATAATATAAATTGTCCTTACTTTAGTTGTATGTGTTTTTATAGAACAGGGGAATATCTCGCACTGGTAACGTTTCAAATTATTATACGTTTATTATTTGTTTATACAGTTCGTGACATTACATTAAAATTGGTAATTACCAAACGAAATCAATTTTTTCCATAAATACTTCTTCTTTATTTACTTTAATTAAAGATATTTTGTCTTTGGTTATTCTGATATGATTGTAGAAATGTAAAAAATTTAACATAAAATATAGTTAAACAAAAGATTATCTTTGAATTGAACACACTCTATATCAAGTATCATAATATATGATACGTATATACAGAGTGGCGAAAAAGTCGTGGATCAAACGTAAATAGGGGATAGATGAGGTCATCAGCTGCAAAAAATTGTTCTACGGGAGGTCTCTAAGCTCAACCCCTGCAGAGTTATAATTTATTTTGCGTTTTATAAGAAAATTGACTTTTCCCTTCCCTTTTTTGGATCCCTATTAAATGCGCCAAAACTTGTATACAGGGTCACTTTTCGGTAGAGTAATTTTTTTTCACAGTGGGGTCCGAAGTAAACAAAAAGTTTTGATTTGAAAAAAAATTTTATCGTATAACTTAATATTATTTTCAATACACTCAATAAACAACTATAAATAGTATGTCTAACGCAAGAACTCATCAGTACCAATATAGTGGATATTATGAAAAAGATACAGAATGTACATTTTTTCGAATTTTAATAAGAATTAGTAAAAAAAAGTCAATTTTCTTATAAAACGCAAAATAAATTATAACTCTGCAGGCGGTTGAGCGTAGAGACCTCCCGTAGAACAATTTTTTGCAGCTGATGACCTCATCTATCCCCTATTTGCGTTTGATCCACGACTTTTTGGCCACCCTGTATACGTAGTACAATTATATTAGCAGTTATGTCACATTTCTAAGTTTCAAATGAAATGTCATTATTATTGCAGCTAGGTGAGGGGTACCGGGTTCGATTCCCGGTTCGAGGGCAAGTTTTAATTTAATTTAAAATTTGTTCTCGGCCTTTGGGAGGGTTGTCCGGCACCGGGCGAGTGCTTAAACCGTACATAGAGGACACGGTCGAATTTCTAAAGACAAGCACGAAATATAAAAAAAAAATCCTATACTTGACGCTGGCTAAATATGCACAAATCGTGCCAGAGCCATTAAAAAAAAAAAGTCATTATTGTCAACAATGAAGAAACGCGCATACTTTTAATTTTTTTTCTGTTTAAACTTTGAAATTTGAAATTGTTTCGAACTTTACTTGTTGTACTAACTTAGGTTAAAAATGCGAAAACTTATTAATAGAGGGTATTTTTTTATCTAAAGTTATCGTGCGTGGTTTTCTATTTGTTGTCATTACATTATTTTTGCAATAAATTGATAAGCTCATCTAAACAATACGTTTGAATAAATATCAGTATTAAAATGCACTTACTATGTACAATCTGCAGTGATTTATTAAACCAATCTGAAAATATCTATGTTATCAAGTGTGGTCATTTGTTTCACTATCACTGTATAAATCAATGGATAAGCAGGTATGACTCTAGAAACTTTAGATAGTTCAATTTAGTTTTGAAAACAGCTATAATATAAATCATAAGAGAAACCAAAATATGATATTCTGGTACATACACTAGTAACTAGTGTATTACTTAAAAAACACCCTTTTAATTACTATTTATAAAAAAATTATTTACAACTAAAATAAAATTTTCAACTTTTTAGATCGAAATCATGTCCTCAATGTCGTATCAATGTAACAGAAAGGTGCATGTTTAGGCTTTATCCAACCATTTCAAATGATGTTACTGTTGACGATGTTACAACATTGCAGTCAAGGCTGGATGATTTACAACTGCAATTACGACAAGAAAAAACAAAATGCAAAGAGAAAGATAATCAAATTAAAGAATTTATTCTTAATATAAAAAAGATAGAGTATGCATTATTTTTTATAAATATTTAGGTTAATCATACAATATATTATGTGTGCATGTAAATTCCTGTAAGAAAGTTTTGGGTACCTCCTTATTTACTAGTGTAATTAAAACAAACTTGTGTGTTGGTATAATAAAATGTAAATGTTAATGATATATATACTGTTGACCCTAAATGGTTCATCTTGTTAAATCCAAAAGATTAAAAGTAAATATTTATATTTAAGCAAAATTCCTGGGGGCACTAGGTCTTTTAAGGCCTAGCATATATAAGAATAATTTATATACCTTATTGAAGGCACTCATTTAACTCAATGGCATTTTTATCTCTAACTCCCTCCTTTTTTAGGGCTAGATTGGCACTTATTTATATTTTAATCCATATTGTTTCAGAGATTCTCTGCAAAGTTCCGAAAAAAAGTTGGTTGAAAAAACATCTGCTGTTATAGCTTTGAAAGATCAATTAAAATATGTCCAAATACAAAATAAAGAGGTTCACAAACTAAAGTCTGAAAATGAAGCACTCAATAAATATGTCAAGACTTCAACTGAGTATGTAAAACTGTCTCATAAACAATATTTATTTAGTTTATATTAAGAAGTAGTATCCTTTTATAGAAAAAATTGTTCGTGTACTTATGTACGCGCGTAAGAAGTTATACTTCTTTGGCTTTCTTTATTTTTTTTAAATATTAAATAATTAATAATAACTATTTAGCGTTAATAATTTAACAATATTTAGTATATTATTCAATTATTAACTAATATTAATAATAATTCTTATTTATTATTTTATTATACATTTATTAATTCAATTTAATAACTAGGTATGTTTCATAACCTTTTAACTAATGGTCTAAGATCCCGCTATACAACGACCTTCACCGAGATGCTTATTTAATGAAACTTATTTTATATATAATTTAATATGTCAATAAATATAATCCATATGGGTTGCCTAGCAAATTTCAGTCCAGAGTATGTTTAATTAATTTAAAAAAAAAATTTTTTTTAAACATTTCACCGGTATGATTATTAGATAAATTCTATACCAATCGAACGTATGAAGCCCATAGAATATGCAAACGTTAGGTTGTTTTTAATCAATTAATTATTTATGTGTATATTTTTTATGTGACACTAAAGTATATATACATCTTCAGTATAAAAGAAGGTTATAGTGATACATATATAATACTACCCTGATTAAAAATATTGATTGAAAAAAGTTCAAAAAATTTACTACATGCAAATTATAAAAAAAATATTTTTTTTTTAATATTAATTAAACATACTCTGGACTGAAATTTGCTAGGCAACCCATATGGATTATATTTATTGACATATTAAATTATATATAAAATAAGTTTCATTAAATAAGCATCTCGGTGAAGGTCGTTGTATAGCGGGATCTTATACTATAAGTAACAATAGGTCTTTGTGAAAAAGCATTGCTAAATTTCTTTGAAAAAATAATTAAAACTCCTTTATTTGTTTAAAAGGTACTACAAATGTCATTATGGTCACTCAAAATTCTTGGCATAGCTGCTAACGTCACGCATATTCTATTTCTTTTTACTTGTAGATTGTCCTATTCCCATCTCGCTCGCGCACGCTCGGCGCCCATACTGATTATTTTGTGTCACGGTGCGCGCGCATCGTAAAATTTCACTCTCATAAATTTTTCATAACGCGCCTAAAGAAGTATAACTTCAAAAATAAATTAAAACATACTAAATACAGGCCTTAGTGTAGAGATAGCAACATTAAGTTAGCATTCAACGATATTTCTATATATTCCGCTTGCCCCAGGGAACAAAGTTGTTGAAGCAAAAAATTTTTTTCAGGAAAAATAATAGAAAATATTGCTATTATTAGTAGGATACTAAGTAAATTAGTAATTGCATATACAAATACAGTCAAATCTTATAACGACATCGAAAGGACTTATCATATTTTTCGTAAAAACCGATTGTTGTTATTAAGTACCTGATACAATAGAATTCAGCCAGGACCTTTGAATTTGGTCAATACATGTTCTAAACGATGTCGTTGTAAACGGTTTTGACTGTAGTAACATTATGAGCTTACTTACATATTTTATGATTTTCTAAAGTCCATCATGATGTCTCAATTTTCCTTTTTCCTCTTTAGACTAAACAAAGTATTGAATGCGTGTTACGATGAGGTGGAAAAAATGATAGAAGATTACGACGATATACGGACTTTAGCCACATTTGCAACGGCATTGAAACGGTAAGTCACAAAGAGTCGGCGTTGGTGGGATAGAGTTGTTAAGGATCTCAAAACAATTTAAGATTGATAATAATTAGATAGCAATTGTGAAAGATAATTGCGGAGGATTAGGCCTATAAAGGGCTGTAGAGCTATTAAAAAATGATTTAAAAATAGACTCAGAAAATATTCATAGATAGCAAAAGGTTTTCTCTAAATTTTATAAAAATGACTTAATTGTATTTAGTCATAATTTTAGTTGAAATTTGGCCATGTATAAGCTGTAAATAAATACACGATTGACGTTTAATATAATTAATGTCTATGTTATTACTTCAAATGGATACGGCTAAACTAAATATATAAATATTTGAGCACTATGAAAATGAGACTATTTTCTGTAATTTTCAGTGCATTATGTGATTCAGAGAAAAAGAAAAACCATTATCGCGATCAAGGACACCTGTTAAAGCAAAAGTTGGCAAGTGAAAAGGCTAGAGTGGAAACTCTTCAAAGAAATTTAGAGTGAGTGTGAAAAGACAAACATATTTAGAGATACTTGTTTATTAAAACATGTTTATGAAATAAAGATGTTGTTAGAAAAATTACTTTCTAAATAATAAAACATACTGTAATGATTTTATTCAGAATGTAAAGTTTTAATTCAGACTTTTTAATATTGCAAATAAGTTCTAAAAGCTAAATGGTTACTGGGCTCTACTCAATTGGGTAATTTGTAAAACTCAGGATTGTGAACTAAAAAATTTTGAAAAAAAAAATTGAACAATAGTTTTGTTTTTCAGCCATATGATGTCACTCAATGTTACGCTGACGTCACTCGATGTACCAAAATTGTCGAAATTCGAAAGTAGTGCAGAACCCGAGATTGCTGATAGCTTCAAACGTGAAGTGAGTCCTATAACTCCAACTTGCTTGTGATTTATTTATTATATTTTCTTCAGAACTGGACAGACATCAGACGTTTGGCCGCATCTTACCTTATGTTAACACTTAACATGTATTTATTCATATTGGTAACACTTAACTTAAGTGAGATGCGGCGCATTAGGCTCCGATGCAGGCTGTTGCTTTAAGAGAGAGAGTCTTCGAAAAGAGGAGTAGCGACAAAGGGTCCTTCTTAGCGGAAAACGCGCAATCTTGTGTCTTCTTGGGGTTAAATCTGACTAAATTTAATCTACCCCAGTCGAGACTACCCGTAGAAGAGTTTCGACTTCAGACACAAACAAGTTTATTCGGGTACTCATCGACAAATGCCCGGCCATCTTATTAAGTGTAGAAATAAATAAAAATATTCTCGTGTAGGTTGTGGCTCCAGTACGTTTGGTGAATTCAATAGAAAAATCGGACTCACCATACTTATCGTTGAAGCAAAGTAGCCTTCCCTTAACCGCACTACAACGGCGACCGAATCAACAATTACTTGATAAAAATCTTAAGGTACAAAATTTCATTTTTACATGCTAAAGGTAAATTGATCTACAATTAAAACACTCTTCTATATACAGGAAGTACCCATAATAAAATATGCGTATTGTATAAATACATACTATTTTATTTTACTAAAGCATATTCAAAGATCAATTTATTATACATTCAACGAATTAATTTAAAAACACCAGTTTTGATTTAAACAATATTATTGTATTTAATTTAAGTGATTATATTTATGCATTTGTTAAAATCCAAAGAGCATTTGATATTTAAACTTGAGTTCCCCATTTAATTTGTCTCTGAATTATAACGTTATCCATTAATTATTTTAAAAGCAGTAGTATATATATACATTTTTTATTTTTCAGCCGTCAGAATTTGCACTATTCAACTCAATAAAAAAGACCTGCCAAAACTTCAAAGAAAAAGAGAAAGATAGCATTTTCCACAAAAAGGAAAAGCCAGAAGTAAATTTATTGAAAGAAAATGTAACCGATATGAACACTTCGTATGATGGACTTGGTGGTCATTCTAAACTGGACATATTTCCACAGCCAAGTACAAGTAATATGACGCGTATTCCCAAGCTGTCTGTGAAACATAAGCTAAAACGACCTAATAGTCAAGACGTAAACGAGGTACGAATCAATAAATACTTCAAAAAGGTGTAAATAGCGATTGCTTTTATAATGTTATCAATTTTAAATCAATGAAGTTAGGAAAACCCTGTGATCTTTAAACTCAAATGGACAAATATATATTTAAAAACTTGATTAAAATTGCAAAACTTTGAACTTATAATCAAAATTACCTCCTGGGTCAATAACCTCGAATTTGCCTAGAATGAGGAAATTTTGACTATGATTATTGTTTATACATTGATTCTATGTCCAAAGTTATGTTTTTTTTCGCAGGGTATTTTGCTAGATATAAAAAGAAAGAAATAGGTGATTTTCTTAATTGTACCTGTATAATGCCATTTAATGTTAACATGTAAGATATCTTTGTTGTTATTAAGTTATACTATCCGCCTATAAATTTGGGTGTGCATCAATAGTATTTTGTGAAGGTAAGGATAAGATTTTTGTGAACATATTTATATAATTAAAAAATACATCACTCTGAGCCAAAACTGTTACTCTAGCTGCTTTATAATGCAACCATATTATGATGTGTCTTAAACCACAATTCACAGACTATTTAACAGCAGCTCTTTATAAATGTCAGGTGTGTAAAAATATTTAAGAAAGCCTGGGGTTAAAAGGGGTGCGCCTTAATGTCATTGGTTTGGCATAGCAATAAGTTATTTCTTAGAAAGAATTTTTTTAATAAATTAAAATTTAATGTATCAAAAAAATTCTTTATTTAATGATTAAATAGCTGATCTAAATTTTCCTTATTTGCCTAACATTTAGAACATATTCAAATTCAAAAACCCAGTGGATCACTAATTGTGATGTTTTCTGAGTTTATCAAAACTTTGATTGTAGGTACCAGTATAGAAAAAAAATCTAATTCTTTTGCTTTAAATGTTTTGGCTTATGTTAAAACAATCACAACAAATTTATTAAATGCAGTCATGTTAGATGTTAAGTTGTTTTGTAAATGTAAACTTGTAAATATTTTAGTAACCTAAATATACATGATTTTTCTAGTTTTATGTTTATTTATTATCCTTTTCGTCGTGTATTGATGTCCCTGTGTTTAATTTGCGATATTTACTCTGAATTTCTGTATTTTATGGTGCTTCACAAAACCTAGGGAGCTCCAGGTCGTGTTTCCTCACGTAGTAGGGCGCACTGGTCGACTAGTCGGTGCCTATTAGAGGAGACACATTGTGCGAAGACTACGCTAGCGTTGGCCATGCATGGACTGAACCGAGTCACCTTGTGTCTAAGGGATATTTGAATGCTTTTATTCTGGATGAAGTATAGGCGGGAGAGGACAAACGCGGTCAACCCGCTACATGTTTGCCGAAGGTCATGCCACTGTTGAGTGTTCTCCTAGATTTTTATGAGAACTGCCACGCTCTTTTCGGGTTTCATTTCTATGACCCATTGTCGAGGACTAGCTTCACATTGGGAGTGGCAAGTGAATAGTCTAGAGCTGAAACTCTTCAAAGCAATTTAGAGTGAGTTTCAAAAGACAAATATTCAGGGATACACGTATATTAAGAAATTATTATTTTTATAAGAAAAATGAATTTTTATTTATGAAAAAAATAAAATGCGTTTATTCATAAGTTAATTTGTCAAGTCAACATTTTTTCAGTATTCATTTAACCATACACACTCCGACAATATACCATACCATCGTACTTTTCATACCTTCTTACTTAATTTTGAAATTCCCGGGATTTTGTTAGTCAGAATAGTGAATGTTCCTCTGTATACGATTTACGATATTTAATCTGTATTTTGTGCTGCTTTACAAAACCTAGTCTGACAATTTGGCAAAACTAAACGCTTTTCCCTCTGATTATTTTTTATTAACTTGGTGAATCTTTTTATGATTTACCATTGCTTATCCCACGTAGTTTACTGCTCTAAATTAAGTAAATTACTATGTTCGGGAACTGTGATTAGAACTATTCAATTAAGAATGACGACTTGTAGATGTCATTATATAAGATGTAAAGTTGAAATATCAAATGACATCCACAAAGTACCTTAGATAGCCAGTTTTTAATCTGTATCATGTTTACTTTTCACTCTGTGCTCTAGTCTCGGTGTGAACTGTGAACTATGAAATCCAATGTGAATTTTGAAATGTCGTAGGATTATTTTTGTAAATGTAAACTAAAAATAAACATATTTTGTGAGATAAATAGTTTTGACACAGTTTCATAAAATAGACTTGCATGGTAATATTTTGTATTTGCGTAAAACGTATTAGCTTAAAAATGTTCCTACAAGTATAGAAATTGTTTTTCCAATTTAATATTGTCTTCCGGTACCGGTATATCAGTGAATAATCTTAGTTAAAACTAACTAATAACAATGATATGATAATATACTATGCCAATAGATTCTACGATATGAATATGTTATTTTTCCTCAAACAAGAATGTATGAAGTGCTAATCTGATATTAAAGAAGGTGCTAAAAGTGGTAATAAATCGTAAACGTAACAAAAATGCCTGGTAAAATTAAAGTGAAGGTTTTGGCGGGGCGAAATTTGCCTGTGATGGACAGAGCAAGTGACACAACAGATGCATTTGTTGAAATAAAATTTGGTGGAATTACACACAAAACAGATGTTTGCAGAAAATCTCTGAATCCTCATTGGAACAGCACTGAATGGTACAGATTTGAGGTATGTTTATAAACAGTTTATCTGAATAAAACACATCATATAGATGTTAAACAAATGATTTTAATGAGGGTATACATAAATATATATATTTTTTTATTGATTAAAAAATATTTAGCAATTGATAGGTGGTTTTTAGAAATTTCAAGATAATTACTATTAAATAATGGCTGTCCACTTTTGATAATAATTTCATAATAATTCAAATTAATCCTTCCTTCCATCAGTTTGCATTAAAATGCCTATTGTAGATTGAATGTAGATGGATGACTGATTAAGAGTAGAATATATACCATCTATACCAAGTACATCCTATAACTTTATCCTTCTTCTTTTCTTGTTTTACTAGAATTGACTGACAGTATAGAGAAATCTATAACTTTTCTTTAATTACAATTTATAATTTGAATCTGGTGCCCGTCTAATATTTATTGTTGTATAGTAAACAGTTATTAGCTGATATAAACAATTCTTATGTATATAATATGAACATTATTTTTATGAAATACTAAAACACTTTGTAGGATTTTAACTTTTTAATAGAATTAAAGAATGCATCCTTATAATAGTGTCATAGGTGTAAAATATATATATTATAATTTATACCAAGCCATTAATATTTCATACTATAAATATTCACCTCTCCCTTCAGTTTTGTCAAAGTCAGTGAAAAATAACAATCAGTCACCTAAATAGTACAATTGGCATTAATATAATAATATGTATCTGTAAATAGTTCAGGTAGTTTGAAATTTGAGGGGCTGAAGTTTCAAAATTAACATCACATTAAATATATAGGTCTAAAGCACGCATTATTAGAAGCTTCATGTTTACACATCATAAATGACGCTCTGGACCTTCCCAGATTTCGTAAAACGTAAATTTCAAGGTTACTTTTTATGCTATAATAATTTTGGCGACGAGACGCGGGCTATTTTCGATGCCGTCTGGTGCACGTCTGTCTTAGATATACTGATTTTATTAATTTTAATTGTGCGAAATCAATTTAAAAAATTTAATGTCAGGCAAAATGCTCTGGATAAGTGTCCATTATTCACAATCGGTTGCTTAAAAGATCTCTGAAAGTTGTTCTTAAAATTAATTTTGACAGGTTGACGAATCAGAGCTTCAAGATGAACCGCTCCAGCTACGCCTTATGGATCATGATACATATTCAGCGAATGATGCAATTGGCAAAGTGGTTATCAGTCTTGCACCCCTATTGGCGCGCGAGGCAATTAGTACCAACGGCGTGGCTGGGCCTCCTGGAGGTTACATATATATTATTACATAATTATACATATACATTATACATACATAATTTAAATGCCTTTCACCAAGAACACTCTTAAAGATATATAAATTGTACATTAGACCACTATTAGAGTATGCCTACAGCATTTGGGACTCTTATTTCATAAAGGATATTAGTATGCTTGAAAGGGTTTAAAGAAATGCCACGAAAATGGTGAAACTTAGGAACAAATCTTATAATGAGCATCTGAAATTAGTAGGTGATTAAGAGAAAATCTTATTGAAATGTATAAAATTCTCACAGGCCACTATAATGTTCCAGGAATTCAGAAGCTCTTTATTTTAAGTGAAAATACACATTTGAGGAGTAGTTTTTAAAACTGAAGACCACTCAATATAACACAAATTCCCTAAAGAACTTTCTCTCAAACCGAGTAGTGACCAACTGGAATAGGCTTCCGGAAAGTGTAATTAGTGCACCCTCTTTGAACTCTTAAAAATAGTTTCTACGAATCCCCAAATACGCGCGCATCAGCTTATAAAGTTGCTAGTGTTTAATACATAATAAGAATCACGTTCAACAAACGCATAGCTGCAGCCAATTCTGTACTTTATCTAGGTGACGCGTCTTTGAACTCATTTTCAAGGATAGATCTAGGCCCAATTTTAAATTTTTTTTATTAATATGTTATAAAAGATATAAGTTAATCAATTATATTATAGGTGCCGTAATGTCAGGATGGATCCCCGTTTTCGATACAATGCATGGCATTCGAGGAGAACTCAACGTGATTGTAAAGGTGGAATTGTTCTCCGACTTCAATAAATATAAGACATCAAGTTGTGGTGTACAGTTCTTTCATTGTAAGTATATATATATATATATATTAATAAATAATCGAATAAATGAAACCTACATTGTTTTTACCGAATTAAATAGCATATATGATTATCATATTATTCCTTTTTAATTACACAAGCTTTAAAAAATCTGGTAAAATGATTTTAATAGTTAATGTGTTTACATCTGGCGTATATTAATTTGAATATGTGATATTTGCGTAAATAAAGGAAAAAATTAGAATATTTTTCTACAAACAGTTTTTCACCCTAAGTCAAAATTTACATAAAAGATATTTATACTTAAGTCCAATGACCCCCAAGAGGCCTTCCAGCGTAGATACCAGTCTGTCACTAAAGCCTTATCCCTTATTAATACAAACTGAATCAAAAAAATCGGACTCATTTTCACTATAGCACTCTTTTATCTCTTTCTGTCAAATTGTTGATACGAAAACACATATACGATGAAACGAGACAGATGAGAGTACTTTAGTTAAAACGGTGCAATAAAACGTATTTAGTTTTTTTAGTTAGTCTAAATATGATTTGATTTTATTGTAATTTTTGAATATTGCGATTTTGCGGGTGCAACCACTATGTGGAATTGTGTTTGATAAATATAGTACATGTGATCTTCTTATTTTAGGCCCAATGATACCACCGGGCTATCGAGTGTCCGCCATTCACGGATTTGTAGAGGAATTAATAGTGAATGATGATCCCGAGTACCAATGGATTGAGAAAATTCGCACCCCACGGGCTTCTAATGAGGCGAGACAGGTGGCCTTTATCAAGCTGAGTAATCAGGTAAGTTTACCACAACTTTCAAAAGCGATGCGGTTCCTGATGCATCAAGAGCGAGGCAGCCCCAATACCTATACTGCAAATAGCAGCTAATAAAATAGATTTCCATTTACGGAATTGCTACGACAAAGTTTTTATAAGTGATGAATGAAGCTCCAATGTGTTACTAAAATAATTGTTTCAGCTTTATTCTAAACTTATTTTTTAAACAACCTATCTTAAAACGAATAATTAACTAAAAACTAAATATACGTGAAGACTAAGTAAAGTAATGAATAAATAATCAATTACCTGAAATAATTATAGAAACAAAATTTAGAGTTTGTTATTTCATGAAAGTCCCAGAAAAGAAGTTATTATAATTAAATTCCCAATTAAAATCGGAGAATATTCTAACAACTGCTTCTTGTAAAAATTCTAGTGACAAGCCGAACTTGTCTTGTTAGTCTGTGGAAAAAAGATATTCCACAGACTAACAAAGTCACACATGACGAATTACTAACAATATAGTAGAAATATTTATTTCTTTACATATATTTTAGGTACAACGGTTGGTCGGTCTGAAGGCTGCTGAATTAGGTGCCAACGCTGTAGTAGGATATCAACAGGACTTTGACTTAGAGGGCGAAGCCGGGGTCGTTGCTAGAGCTATCGGTATGTTTATATAAAAAAAAATTAAACGTTTGTTTATTTTGAGGTTTATAATTCTACATATTTTATTCTAACTCGAACATAAAGCTAACATCAAACAGATAATAATTGTTCTGTCACATTTATGTGCAGTGAGTGTGAGAAGGACGAAACATTCAAATGAAAGATGAAACAGGTCGAAAGGCTTTGTGATAATAAAGTGATAAAAAACTAAAATAACCGCAAAGATTTCCTTTTTTTAGATTTTAGCTTAAGGTAGATTATGTTGAGATATACAGACATTGTGCTGTTATGAAATAATTACACACAAATGTATGATTTTAGGTACAGCCGTCAGCATGACACCATTGCCGTTACCAAGCCAATCTATGACAGTGCAGCTAACTCAGCAGTGAGTTGATTTCCTCATTATAAGTTATTAAAAATTTGAGTTTAAAAAACATTGGGGAAGAATAAACAATCTAAATAAATTATATATTGCTATTTCACACTAATAGGTGTGTTCTATTATTTTAGTAAAGTCTTAGACATAAGTCAATAAGTTGGGGGAATCTCTAATCATTATAAATTTTGATACTTATATTTAAATGAATTCTTGTTGAATATTTTCTCATGAAACTTTCTCTGCATGGTTTGTCGTGTACTGCGCTTGTATGCATACCCATAAAACAGACAGTTAAATAAATACTTGGACATTTTAGCGACCGATGACGAAAGCGTCGCCGATCTGAGAGAATACTACCTTCATCATCAAGATGAATTGATGATGATCGTCAATATACTTAATCCTAGAACACCATCTTTGCTAGACGAACCAGATAACGATGACGACGATAAGAGCTTTGAAACTATTCGATCTACCCAAAACACGTACACGGGTAGACTATCTATATATCAAGATCTTACTGCTCATACAGGTCTTAAACATATTTCAGACGATCAATCTGAGCTAAATAAACTCCTTAACCGCCATGACTCTGATTCTGATTCATCAGGACCGATTGGAAAAATAAAAAAGATGAAAACTCACTTGTTTTCCAAACGTTTCTCCAGGCGAAAATCGTCTGGTAAACAAGATGATCAGATCTCTATTAAATCTAGTTCATCTGACACATCCCGCATATCAGATATTAAAAATGAGCTGAAAAAATTGAAAAGATTAAAAGTTAAAAGATACGATGAATATGAAGAAGAGGAGGGTATAAATATGGCATCGATTTTAGCACGCTCTGTTATTCATGCGCAGACAAGTCTCGCTAGAATATCTGAATCGCATTCTGAACACTCTCCAGGTTCGACCTTAAGGCGAATTAGTGACTCTGGACCGGTCAATTTAGCTTCAGATGAAAAGACAGATGTTGAAGTAAATTGCATGGACGATTCTAAAATCCCAGAAATACATTGCGCTTCTCTGGAAAACTTATCCAATCTCGTCAGTCCACAATCGGAAAGAAAGATTTCTGATTCCTGTCCAACTTCACCGGTTGTTGTAAGAAACGAAAATCTTCTTAAACTCCCTGGAGATTCCAGTTTTTATGGTTCCGTATCATCTGCTCTCTCGGCAGAGAGTTCAGACATATATTCAACTTCAGACGAAGAAGAGGACAGTTTTAACTTAAAAACTGAAACTATCGGTTCTGTTGTGAAATCAGTTTTAAACAATGATGTAGATCCAGAATTTGTTGCCCAAATGGAAAAAAAGCTTACAGTACTAAAGTTGGACTCTTTTGAAAGCAACGAAGATAGTCAGTCGGCCCAAGCAGTGAAATCTGAAGTTGCAGATTTTCAAAACAAGCAGGACCATAATCCCGTTCTGCTTGAACCCTCAGAGGATAAAAAGTGTGTAGCCAGTACTCATAACCGGTCTTTCAAAATTCCAAATCCATTTGCACACAAAAGGCTTTGTAGTAGCTTTAGTGCACCCTCATCTCCGGTTGAGAAAAATGGCTTCATGTATCGCTCCTCAAGGCGGATAAAGCGACAGCTTTCAAAATTATCAAAAAGTAGCATGATCAAAAGCTTGTCACATTACTCCTTACTGCCAAAGAGGAAAGAGCATAAACCATCAGTAAGTGAACCTGGTTCTTCATCTGATGTTACATCTAGAGCTCCTAGCGACACGGTGCTAGGTGCCCCTTTCTTGTCTTATAATGATTTGCTTGCTCTTGATAATAGTGCAGTTAACTCCAATCGCCTATGTAAAAGTGACGATCTTGGACCCACCAAAGTTTCTATGTACATTGGTTCCGAACCAGTGTCTAGAGCGTCATTTAGTGGACCTTCCATCTCATTCAACGAACGTTTGCCTGAGCAAAGATCATTTAAAAGGGAAAAACCTGCAATCAAACCATCGAGCTTAGTCCAAACTGCTATGGAAACAATACTAATTGATAAAGTCCAATCCCTACTTATACCGACAAGTCCAGACTATTCGAGTGCTAATAAAAAATTCTTTAACGACGTCAATGAAAAACTAGTGGTTGAAGAAGAAAAGCTGAGAGAAAGAAAATTAACTAGACAGGACAGTGTACAATCGACAGAATCGGCGTCGCATAAAATGTCCAAATCCCTTAATTCATGCAAGTTAACACATACGCCAGTCATAAAAAACTTCCATCCCATTCTTAGCGGAACGCATTTAGAGACCATACCTTCTTTACCCGAGGGCAGTGTAGATAGAGAAAGCCTAGACGTAGAGTGTGTTACTAACAGTGCTAGCGTGTGTGGTAACTCGCATGCAGCGTGCGTTGACAGGGATAAATGTGAGAGGGAGAAACAAGATAGGGAGAAGTGCGAGAAAGAAAAGGACCGAACATCGCCGCGTCACGCGCGGCACGAGTCATATGGCGGCCGCGAACCAAACGTACAAAACGCATCAGTCAACTCCACTTCTACGCCTATGGGAATACATCGACGGTCTTCTGATTCTGATCTTAGTATAACACCAAAAGGTTAGTTTTTTAAAATTAATAGTAACTAGTAAGCTTAAAGCATACCTAATCTATATGAAAATTGATATTATATAGCGATAAAGTTTGTGTGGTTATAGTGAAAATTTATAGCTACCAAAATAAAGCTACATTGCTTGTAAGTGTCATATCCCGTTTTATATTAATCCGAAAATGGTAGTCCGATTTGCGAAGTAAGTCGGAGAAAAAACCGTCGAACGAAAACGTTTCTTACGGACGCTACCTTAAGTAATTGAGTTCTAGAGAACAGTTGGAGAGCTTGATGAAGCCTACAAAAAAGTCAGCGTCAGCATACGTCTATTTTTTATATTATATAAAAAATGTCTGGTCGCGTTCAACCCAAAAACTACTGAAATTATAGTTTTCACCAACTTTTTATCTAGAATAATTCAAAAGGATGGTTATAATTCTTCCAGGGTACAGGTCACGGTTGCCCGTGTGTAGTAATAAAAATTCCTGTCCTTACTGGATTGGCTAAGTTCTTCTAAATATACTCCCAAATATGTCGACTCTACTATTTTGAAATTTTAAATTATCCATTTTAACTTATTTCGTATACTTGCAGGTGGTTCGTTAAACGCATCTCTAGGAAACACAGGTAGTGGCGGCGGTGCGATACTCAAGCCATCTATGAACAGCAATAACCTGGAAATGCTGGAGTATCCTTTTCTTACGATGTCGGAATACCCGCCCGGATTTATCGTACATATTGGTAAGGAGCAGCTTAGACTATGTAGATTCATATAATTGATTCCATTATCTAACCAGTTCCATTTTATTATTGTCTGTGGTAATAGATTAAATGATGAAAAGTGAAGTTTGAGAAATTGATTTGCTATCTTATATTGAAGCCAAACAAGTAATAAATAATGTTTTTCTGGTAAGGCAGAGTACTCTGTTGGTTGACAGTAATACTAAAGTAGTAATTGTGTTATATTTAGTATTATTATTTTAACCTGACTCTTTTTATTTTTTAATACCATATACCTACATATAATAATAATAATAATCTTAATTTCTTCTCTCACATATACATACAAGGTTATTATGATTAAACTAAGATGATAACATTAGGAAGTGTATGTGAGAGACTGGTCTCTGTAACAGGAGACCTTAGTGACAGATAACCAGCCTCTCCAAGTATTCCGATATATAACATTCCGATGGTTTATTTGAAAACCCTAATTGTTTTTCTAAGAAATTTGACTAAAATCGAATTAAAAATATATTTTACCTTAAAACATACCTATGTCTACATTGTTATTTGTTATTTTTGTTATGCCCCATAGTATTTCTTTTCTTTTTCCTGGCTCGCTTGTTATTGACAAAGCCCATTGCCTCCTTAATAATGTATATTATCTGTTTTATATGTACTTAATCATGGAACAAACATAAATATATAATATAGAAATATGGGTTATTTTGAGAATGGAATTTTCATTAAATTTAATCAAATATGAGCCAAGTTTACTATCGATATCATAAATCTCTGGCGCTTACTATATTGACGCGTAACATTAAGAAAATGTAATAATTAAATTCAAATTAAAACTTATTAAATTTACGTTTATAGGTGGGACAGTCTGCGCTCGGTCTGTGAAGTTAGTAGATGGGGGTGGGGAAAGTAGTTCTCGAGCGGGATGGTGGACTGAGCTAAGGACCGAGCTTAGAGCACATGCGCGTGCGCTGCGATGCACTGCCGTATTGGCCTATTGTGAACGAACTGCTATACGGTAATATTAACTATGTTATATGAATTTTTAAAGAGGCTAGTTCGGCTAGTTAGTTTTTCGTTCTACTATTGGTCTAGAGACTTTTCTATTTTGTTGGTGTAATTAGTAGATTTCCAATAGAACAGTGTAATCTTGATAAACTCTTATCGATATCATATAATATACATACATATCTCTAAGAAATGATGTCCTATATATCTTATCTTATCTTTATCTTTGTGCTAACGCGTTTAACAGAGATGTCCTAGATTTATTAGAAGAAACGATTATATCAGTGATTAGATGCAATTAACCAATCACAAGCAAGCGAAACACCTTTCAATTTTGATCCCTGTCTAAATCTAAATTAATTAATCAACAGATGGCGTTGTGCATGTGTAAAACGCGGTAACATAACGACCCTATAGAAATGTATAGTGTTTAGTATTTGATTTTCATGTTCAAAGATATCCCGCGACGGCCCAAGCCGAGATCGCAGGATATGCTCATTCCGGCCGAGCTTCGTTCTCCAAAACGGCCCGAGTTGTCAAGGCCCGTCAGGCCAACAGCGAGATTCCATTAAAAAAAACGCATGTTGATGTTCTTCTTGCAGAAGTTTTTCAAGTATTGTTAATTGTACAAGAAGTCACCCTCTCTTTCATTAATAATATAGTAATTTATATAGGGTTTTTCATGTGTCATTTCCGTGCATTAGGTTTTTTAGAACAAAATCCCCATCCATCGGATAAGAACTTGATAAACGTGATTATAAAATTGTACTTGCTTTTAAACGTTGGATGTATTTTATTACAGCGAGGACGTGTGCGTTCTATCTGTTTCTGGTACAGCGGCAGTCATCAATTTGGACTGTGATTTTAACATTGATGAGCCGAATGTGTCATGTAAGCATTGCACTAACCTTTAAAACATAACGGTTTTACTTATTAGAACTACTATAATATTATCGTATATTTACGAAACTTCATCGTCTTATTGATTAATGCAGAAACTAAAATTGGTATTATATACCATATAGTTTGCTACTAACAAATAAAATTACATAAAAATAACATTACACGAAATTTACTACACTATATGTATGCATTTTTAAACAAAAAATAACCACTATTTGAACAATGGCTATATCTGGTGAGAGCGACGAATTGACCCCAACTATACCGCGCGACCTGTTTTGCCGAATACCAGTTTATCCCTCAGTATTTCCATCGCATAACTCTGGGCTTACCCGTTTGCACAGATGCGTTGAATAATATTCATATAAATAAATTATTAAAAATATTATACAATTTTCAGTAACCAACGGCTCAAAGAATACAATAGAAGAAATTGAGGCTGAGAATTGCAGCATCGCACATGTACCGTACTCGCCCGGCACGGGTCCTTACAGGGCTGAGTTAGCCCCATGTGGGGAATGCCGGTAAGTACCCTGACGGGGCGTAGAGGTATATTGTATGTTTAAGTTGTTCTAGAGAATATTCTCTTTCATCAATTTAAAGATAATTGGGAATATGGGTGTTAATTGATGTTTTATGCCAGAGTTAATAACAGATTACATATTTTTATTGTTTTTATGATACAACATACAAAAATACATACAACCCTTAATTTTCACCCCTATTTTTTTATTATAGCAAATAATTATTTTTATTGAACTAAAACAATGTTTCTTAGAAATAATATACTAACAAAACAACGTTTGTCGGGTCAGCTAGTGTGTATATAATATTCATATATTTAAATGCAACAATAATTATTTTTCCTGACACGAAAACATTCCAGTCGTGCCCGCGTCCCTACTGTTATACTAGCGACGTGCGCGAAACCGAACAGACTGACTTCCTACGGCAAAGCAGTGACACTCACCGCTGTTGGTATGTATATATGAAAGCCGTGACATCATAATGAGAATTAGTTTATTCATTAATAATGAGGTTTATCGATCAAAGGTTTTAATGTATTTAAAGATCGACTTTTACTTTCGTACTTTTCCAATTTACTGATCTTGTGGATCGTACAAAAACATTAGTAGGTATGGATGTGGACACAATTTTTTGTATGATGTTTATTTATCAAGTTATATAAATAAAGAATTAATTTTAAAATGTGGCGACTTAAAAAGAAAATGTACGATTCTTTTAACTTTTTTAAAATATATAATATAATATAATATATAAATATATAAACCCGGAATTGTACACACTGAAAACTAATGAAAGTCCAAAAACCAACAAAGTAAAAGAGTAGTAAGTTCCAGTAAGGGAATTTAAAATCTATTTATAAGAAGTTCTGAAGTTCTGGAGGAGGCCTTTACCCGTGAAGGGGTTCCGATCGACGGTACTGAAGGAAGCTAGAATATAGAATAACAAGCAAAAGAAAAAAAATATGTTTAAAAATGTAAAATATTCTAAACTGTGTATTATAATGTGTTTTTGTCTTGATTGGAAATAAAACGGGCTTTATTATTATTATTATTTAATAAGAAGTTAAAGTATAAAACTCAATACATATTATAGCGGGTAGAATACGTCGCGCTCCACCCGCCGCGGAGCCCGGTGCGAGAGATATTTCGGACCAACTACCCTTCCTAGAGTATGAACTACACAAATTGTTGCTGGCTAAGCTTAGAATGCAGGTAGGTGTGTTGTATAAACAAGTTCATGCTTTACTTTAGAAAAGTCATCTTCAAAGGATAAGCAATCCTTCCTTAAAATGTTATTAACCTCTTGGAAATCAGCTTCTTTCCCTGCGAGTGACTAACGCCAATAACCTATCTCAATCCATAATCTACCATCTGAGATAGTAATCTTAATCCAAATGTTGTAAGAAGTGTGCCAATAACCAATCCATGGATTGTTATAGCCATCTGTCGATACTAGCTATCCATGGGAGGTCGTATCGGTGTCTGTGGATAGACCTTTGCATGAAAATGACTGTTGACGAAAGCTCGATTTCAACCGTTAATTATTTTAACAGATTTTATCTTACACCAGTTTTTTTAATAATTAAAAAAACTGTTTGTTATGTTTTAAAAATACACATGTATATTTTAATGTTATTTGTACGGTTTTATTTACTTTATTTGGTTTACATTGATTATCAAATATGAGTGAAAACTTGGTAAAATGGAACGAAAAAGAGCATTTTAACCGTCGCCAAAAATGGATTCTCTTCGTAGGGTTTGGTTATTGGGACGCAGATAGGAGATCGTTCGACTATCTCAGATTGTGTTCAATCTAAGATTGTGGATAAATTATTGGGTTCGGGCGTATGTCTACAGTAGACAGTAGTTTATCTATATCTTTCGATCCACATTCCGATTCCTAATTATTCAGATGCCAAGTTTATGTATATGTCATTATTTGTTAATTAAAAATTATGTAAATTTTTAATATAGGCACTAAAAGCCACTGGAACTTGGTACCTAGAACCTCCTTGTTTGTCTTTAAATGACAGTAATTCTAAGTGTACCATAAGATACAGAAAAAAATTGTCTATACTCTATAATTTTTAAGAAGAGAAGTAGAAACAAATTCTAGTGTTCTCTATTTTTATACAGGGTGCAAACGCGTTATTCTCTCTCCATACACAAATAGCAATAGGCGATCGTTGTGTCATGGCATTAGCTACTGGTACAGCTGTAAAATTAGCTGCCTTACCGCCTCCAGCACCACCAAGAATTAAGGTATTTAAAAGAACAGGTTTACAGTAAGAATTTTCTAAATAATAACTTAAGAAGAAATCGGATTGTTTGATTGTTGTTTAAATATATAAATGAAATCTTTAAATTCTCTCCATAATCGCAGGCTTATAATAACAATTCTGTTTGGTTTCTTACAGTTTGTTTTCCTTGTATACCGAAACTTTAAAAAGAGTGGCGGAGAGTTAAGGGTTAATTTAGATCTTTTCGTATCCACTGTCATCTTTAATATTAAAAATCACAATCAGTAAGCGCCATATATTGGTAACTAGGCGAACTATTGTGATTTGAAGAAGCCAATAGCGTTATTTTATAGTAGTTTTTTTTAATTAGACGAAGTCAACTGACGTTTACGGTGTTGTCAGTTTTTAAAGAAATAAAAATAGTGTTGTGACAAAGTGAACGATTAGAAAAACTCATTAATTAATGATCGGTGATGGCACTAGTCGCCGCGCCGCGCTTTGTATTAAGCCGTCAAAAAGCTGATTGTAGTTAAATACTACTAGTACCTAACTTATATCAGAGCACTTTTATACAATTTTAAAATATAAATAATATTCTTTTATAGTTTGAAATGATTAACTATTCACACTCATTGTTCATTCATCTAATTGAACAAGAACTGAACGTATCACTATTACTTTAAATATGGCAACATTATTTTACAAAGTGACATTAGCTACTGTCAGTTAGCTACGTCTAATTAAAAATACGACTATAGTTACCGATTTAATTAAATAATTTTTTTCCGTAGTAATAGCATGAGGTAGACAAAGTTCTGTGAAGAACTGTTCTTTCAAGGGACATGACCTTTAAGTTATATAACAGTTGCTCCTCTCAGAGCAACTTTTTTTAATAATATTTTATAATGTTTTAAGGCTTCAGAAAAAGACAAAGATGCCATAGAGATACAGAAAGCTCTATGGGATACGTTCACTGCGAACAAGACAGCCAATGGCTTTGATGTTGGTATGTATTATATATTTTTGATTAGGCTGATCACCTACTTATCTATAAAAAACATGAATGCAAAAATCCGTGACAGAAAGGGTTGTAACGCCACAAGTTATGGGGTTATAAAAAGTCATTGTTACTTATATATTAATACTTAAAACTGTTTATTAATTTTAAATTTCAAAAAGACTAGACTTCATATGTGGTGAGTTTTAGGCTGTGATTTACCAGTTACAATAGTTGTGTACCCATAGACAAAATTAAATACAATAACTTTGTTGTCTATAAATTGGAAATAGAGTTAGTTAACAATGAACGTAATCCAAAATAAAGTACGCCTTATTCTGACCTGAATTATGTTTTCTTTTCTTGTCCTAAATATGACCATTCTTCCTTATATACTTCTTTAGTATCTCTCTCTGTTCCCCTTCCTACCAATATTTCTTTACTTCTTCGAGATTTAAGTCCCCTTGTATATAGTATTATAAGTATGTTTATTGTAAATAATAACATTAAACTATAATTAATTTTTCCCCTTATGTAACTATTCTGATTATTTTCTAAATTTAATGCGTTTTCAATCATGTATGTTATGTCGCGATTAGTTTCCTTCGTTTTTTACTATTCATAAACTGTAAATAATTAAAACAGCTAATTATAAAAATCTTATACTTGACGCTGGCTAATGCACAAACCGTGCCAGAGCCATAAAGAGATAAAAAAAAGTACGCCTGACAATTGTCACATTTTTCAACGTTTTTACTTGTGACTCTTAAACGTTAAATGTACTTTAGCTATAAACGAGCAAACACGCTCGGCAGTAGAAAGCGAGGCTGAGGAGCCTCCAGCTTTAGACCTGTGTGCGGACAAAGATACCTGCGTCTTGGAATTGGATGAGGCGGAAGACGTGAGTACAAGTTAAAATATATTATTGTTAACTTAGAACTCCTTCAGTGAGGTGAAAAAAGCTAAAAATGACAGTCAAACGCTTTTGTAAAACGTTACGATGCGGGGTGGGGATTGAATTACGCGTTATTGTTAATATTATTTTCGACTTACACCACATAATAGTAACTAAAGAGACACAAGGCTGTCACGAAATGTTTTACTATACTTGAGTACAGTACTGCACTAGGGTACTGAAAAACGTTACGGCGAGATACATGGGGGGGGGTCAATAATCTCCAAAAATTGCGTTACGTAATACTTGAACGCTCCCTAGGACCACAGACAATGTTGAGAGGGTGAAGGAGTCAGTAGAAAAAAATCCGCAAGTGTCTACTCGGAAGCGATCGGCGGCTTTCATATTATGAGATAATATAACCATATTTGGAGTGGATAGCGAAAATATATTAAAACTACCGGATCTGTGTACTATGTCTTGTGCGTTAAAACGCGCACGCACGCACGCATTTTAAATTAAAAAGTCATTAAAATCGGTCAAGCCGTTTAGAAGGAATTACAAACATACGCACAGAAAATATGTGTAAAGATTACTGTAGGCCCTTAATGGTTCTTTTATGCTTTAACACATTTTTGAACAGGTGGAGACAGCAAAGTTACTAGCATCGCGTCGTAGCAACATGCAAGTATTTACGGACCAGTTAAAACCTTCTACTGCGGTGCATGCGCTACCTTATGCGTTTACGCAGGTATTTTTAATTTATGTATTTTGTTTGGGATTGGGGACAAACACGGGTCATTTAGCCTAAAGTCCTAATTTCCGTCTATGGACTCATGCAACGCCTTTCAATTTTCATTACATTGTCGCGTAATTTTTTTGTTTTAATCAACCTTTACCAAGTGTTCAAATCGCCGAACTCACTTTAAATCAATATCTATCCAACCACAAATTAAATAGATCCAACTCGGTCCAACTTCCCATCACCACAATGCTCCACTGAATACTTAATCAGTACTGTCGTGCGTTTCCTGAACTCTCCGTCAAATTCAAGATGGCGCCTCGACCCAGCTCGAGGCATTTGCTCTGTGATTGGTTTTTTAAGAACTTATATTTGTTAAGTAATGATTCCAGACTATGTAACAATTAAGTAATAACAAACATATCAAACCAAATTAAACTATTCTTAAAAATAATAGGAGAAATCTTAACGATTAACCAAAGCAACAGTAAACATTTCTGATAATCCGAGCATTCCCTGAAATATTTGTTTCTAATCTAAGAATTCCTAGTAGATAACAATTTTCAAATAATATAACAATTGATTAATTTTTAATAATGTTGCAGGTATGGCGTACTCGTGTAGGTCCAGTGGGAACTAGTGCGGAACGTCTAGTGTCATCTGCGCTAAGTGGTGCCGCGTACAAATTGCGAAGGTTGCAACCAGCTGCGCTTGCGCCGCCTACATTTCAGCTGGACTTATCTGAGGTAAGTCGATTGATATAAATATATACTTTTATAATGATATTAGAGTTATTATTTCGGACGTCTTAAAACTACTGATACGGTAATTCATATTGTAGCTATATAATATATTATACTCTGATTTTTAATTCCGTAGAATTCTGACAGCTATCATTTTTTGACATGTCAGTGATGGTAAACCTTTTTGGCCGGGCACATTTTCAATTTCAATACGAATCTGAACATCTGAGTCTATACATTTTTATTGTTAGTTAATGTACCCATTTTATTAAGTGCGGTGCTCCACGTTAAAAGTAATTTAATGGCGAGTGGTAATTACGTTCCATTTCATCACAAACAGTAAAAAACGTACAACTAAAGATAACATTTTATTATTTTAAAAGGTTTACTAAACCTGGACTTAGTAGACAGTGATGCCAGCTAAAGAATAAAATAAAGTAATTAAAGTTAATTCGATCTATTGTTCGTTATATTGAAATATTTGTTATTTTTGTTTTAGGTCACTTGAGTAAGTAAATATTTCGATTTTTTTGTAGGTAAAATGTAAAAAAAGGGTGCGTGTACTTATGTACGCGCGTAAGAAGTTATACTTCTTTGGCATTATTAAAAATAGTTTTTGATTGCATGCAAATAATTAATTACAATTAAATAATCAAAGACTGGAAAAGGAGTCATTATAGTCAATAAAGTTCAGTTTACATTTGAAAAATTAAATAAATAAATATTATTATTCTCTTACATTAAGTGTAACATAAATTCTATTATTATTCGAATGTTGTTTTTAAATTATGTCCAATGCCGTAGCATCTTCCGTGGGCAACTTCATTCTGTTAATTTTGTGTCACGGTGCGCGCGCATCGTAAAATTTCACTCTCATAAATTTTTCATAACGCGCCTAAAGAAGTATAACTTCAAAAATACGTTGCATTTTTTATTGCCCTCAATAAGTCAAATTTGTCCCTTTTTCGGTGGAGAGTTTTTTTAGTAGCAACACTTATGAAATGTCAGAATTCTACGGAATTAAAAATCAGACTATAGTGTATTTGAGACATCAAAGTTTTTTGTATATACTTATTAGTATATTGTTATGCAGTTAACAATTTAGTTAGTTATAAAAGTACTGGGAATCCAGACTCAGGTTTTTGTTACATTAAAGGGTTTCTAAATCTTACACATTGTAATGCATTGTTATACTGAATAAACACTTTTTTTAAATATTAATTGAAAATGTTTAGGATGAAATCCAGCTTGTCGTGTCCGGTACAGCAATACCTCTACAAGACCCAAGCAAGGAGCCAGCAAACGAGAAGGAGACATCTAATGATGACGATATCTTCGCTTTAGATGAGGAGCAACTTGCCAAGACTAATACTGAGAATTATGAGGAGAAGAATAGTGGACAGGTAACTTGAGTTAAATCGGGCCAACCATTTTCACATAAATTGACATAATATAGGTTTATGTGACATATTTAAAAAAAATGTGTGCTTGTACTAGGTGTGCACACGTAAGAAGTGAAACTTCTTTATGACCTTTTTTTTCGAAAAATGATCTACTGCATATATGCAACTTTACAGAAATTGGTTAAATAAAGTTAAATTAGATAAAGTTTAACAAAAGGCTTTTATTAGCATAGACATGAATACAAATACAATTATTTCATTTTACCTTATTACTACTAAGATTATTACAGAATTTCATTAATTGCAATAGAATTATTACTATCATTGTTATCGTTATTATATATTTTTGTTATTAATGGCTTCGAATCTCTTCGGATTAACCGTGGTAGGGACAAGAAAAAGATGGCGCGTAAACGAAACATGTGACGGTAAATTTTTTTCCAACGCCGATAAAGAAGTTTGACGTTTGACTTCAAAAAGCAACATGGCGCGTAACCGAATAACGTGACGATTTGCTATAAAATTTCTCCCATACGTCGATAAAGAAGTTTCACTTCAAAAAACTTTTATAATTCTGCGGTTATGTCATTTAAAGAGCAGTGTTGGCCTAGTAGCTTCAGTGTGCGACTCTCATCCCTGAGGTCGTGGGTTCGAACACCTGTGTCTCAATAGGCTATCTGTCTAAGTGCGCATTTACCACTAGCTCTTACGGTGAAGGAAAACATCGTGAGGAAACCGTCATGCCTTAGATCCAGTCGATGGCGCGTGTCAGGCACAGATGCCCCATCTATTAGAAAAGCAAATCATTAGGAAAAAACTATAGAAAACAGAGGCCCAGACCTAAAACGTTATCTTTGATGTGAAAATTTCGTAAATTATAATGGTAATTTTTTTTACATTGTTATAATAATTTCTTGATCTTTGAATGACTTTACTTTGTACCCTACTTGATCAAGAAAGTATTTTCGATTTTTCTTTTTCAAGGATATTGTTTATAGGCAAGTAGAACGAACTTCAAAAATACTTTCCCCCTTAAAAGAATCTAGGAACGGAATAAAAAAGTGCCTTGTATTTACACATTGAGAATTTACACTCGATTTATCACTAAGCTAACATTTTTGTTAAATTTCTTTATTTTAGAGCGGTCGCGTCTCCCTAACCACTTTAAGTCACATTAGCGGCAGTCGCATAGTACGGCGCGTGTGCGCATTAAGATTATTATTCGTACGTGAAACAACAGGAGTACGGGAATTGGGAGGGCTTAGCGGGTTTCTTCATACTTTTACATGTGAGGTAAGTAATAACAAGTATGTTTAACTGTAATCTTATTGTTTGTTGCAAAAGTCCCAAACAAATCGCGGAGTTTCAAATTTGTGTTAGCTGTTGTATATATTGTAGGTCCTAGCAATAGTGCGGGCGTATACGTCGGCATTGGGCGGTAACGCACTCACGTCCTTCTACGTCACACACCTAATGTTACAGGACAACGCACATAAGAATCAGGTAAACTCCACAGACTAACATATTAAACATAAAACCTCCTTTGTTATTTTCTGGTATAATTGTTAAAATTATTAAAGCAAATTACTCTTTCTGAGAAACTGGGTTTACGCTGTGATGAAATGAGACGGTTGAATTTAAACTTTGAACGGTGGGGAAATATTAATTATTTTTTTAAAATGGTTTTAAAAGTTTTATTTGGTTTTACGGGAGTATATTTTAATGGAACTTTAATACTAAATAATATTTTATTTTTTAGGGTCAGTGTTTACTGTCTGTTGGCGGCGACGTGGTCCACATAACGTACTAATCCATGACATATCTAAATATAAATTTTATTTTCTAATTTTAAGTTAAATTTTATGATGTAAATTTTTATTGTAGAATTTGATATTGTTTTATACCTCGCAGTCTCCATTGGCTAAATATGGATTGTTTTTATAATGTAGTTTTTTCTATCTTACACACGATATAGTATGCATTGTCATCGAATTAAACGTCATTATGTAATGAAATTATCACATATCACGAAGACTTTAAAAAGCTAGTAATTTGTAAATTATTTAAAACGCCAAAGATGTTATTTTTAACTGTATTTATTTAATATTAGATTATGTCTATTGGTGGGATTTTTATAGTTTTCTAGAAACGTACCTTACTTTTTTAATATTATTTAATTATAATTTTACAAAGAATTAATTTCCCTTTTGATATATAATTTTTTGTGGTGTTCGGTACAGTAATACCTCTACAAGACTAGCAAGCGGGAGACCTTTTATGATGACGATACGTTACGACTACGTCAAAGTTTTTTGTGATTTTCAAATTGGAGTTATTAATACGTACCCGTTGAATAATATTAATATAAGTAAGGAGAAAGCAAGATTATGAAAATGTTAACCATTGATATTCGGTATATATTATTATTTAAATGTTTTATTGCGCTCTCTATTATTTTATCTAAAACGTTGAAACGTTTTCGACACGTCCGCGTCGATGACAATACATACTAGACCGTGTGGTTTTAAAAAGTTGCTGTGAACTATAACGTATAATTTTACAACTGGAGTTATTGTGAACCAAGACAAAAGTATTTCTAATCGGAACATTTAACTAATACAGGACACTTGATCGAACCGTCTTGAATAAAATTATTATTTATAAATAAAACGATATGGATAATAATCTATTAAAATGTTTTCCTACGTACAAATGCTTTATTCTAGATATAGTCCTGCTAATACAGTTGTAAACGAATTTGACTTGACTATAACTAGTCCTATCAAAGGTGAAGAATATTGGCTGGATATTATTCATAAATATGTTTTGTCTTCGTCACTAGTAATAAATAGATGTGACAAAACATTTTTTAAATCCAAACCAATACTGCTTGTGTTTTTAACTGACATTATTAACATGTTATAACTTCTGACGTTTATAAGTATAGCTAAAGGCTGAATTCAGAATATACTTTTGATTGTCAAATGTTTGTATCAGAATTATTCTGAGGTTCAAGCTTAGTTTAAGTCGTAATTTAAAAAATAGCAACTGAAAACCACCCTATGATTTCACCCAAATTTTTTCTACCGAAAAAGCATACGTACGATACGATTGTCTAGTTTCGTGTACATCTGAATTAGCACAGTCGTTAATGTTATAAGTGCGTTTCAACTGCCGATTTTACATTTCTATTTGAAATGTTATGTAACTACTTTTTCTATTTGAAATAAAGTCAATTGAATATCTAGTGTTCGTTTTTTTACGATGTTTTGTATTCCCATTAAAAGCATGTGAGGTCGTAGCCAAACATAATATGATGTCCGAAATCACTTTTAAATATTTAGCTATACCAACTTATAGTTTGCCAACCGATAGTTTAACACCCTGTCGCACCCTTTGGCAAGTACCTACATTAAGTAATATATTTGATCATGAAAATCTTAGTTAAAAATTTACAGCGCCCCTGATTATACTAAAATATTTCCTAAACAAATTTTACGCGGTTTTATTACCTAGTAGAGCTACTGTATTATATAAATTGAAGACACAGCTGTAATAGGGTACGTATCAGAATAGGATTTAGCTTAAAAATATACTCAAATAAGTGTGACTTAAAAAAAGTGTCATAAAACAAAAATAAATTGCTGATCAGAAAATAACATAAGGTGTAAAAAAAGTTTACTTGTAATTAAAACACTCGGAGCTTCACAAATATGTATTTATTTGAAACATTATTAAATATAATTGCATATCAAATGAAACGCGACGTAAATGCCAACAATTTACTTATATCTATAATACTTGGAACAATAAGTACATTTATTAATCTACAAGGAGAGAGACGTCTGTTCTTGGTGACGTTGGCATGATAAATGATGAATGTATGACTAACTTACATAATGTTTTGGACAAATAATAAAGGGTTATAATTTAGCATTGCGTTTCGGTGTCGGTTTAAGCGCGTTTACGTCGCAGCGATGACCGTCAGCGCCTGCGGCCAAAACGAAGGAAGGAGTGGACGACGTCTTGCCTCTTCATGCCGGAGTCCAAAAGTTGAGGGTAGTCGCGAACTAGGGCTACAACAATAAAAATAAATCCTTTTACCAAGGGCACACAGTGTAGTCTGTAATTATTTTTATAGGCTGTCTAGGTCGACTTGACTTCGTTCAAGTGGACAATTCTTCTCGTTACGATTTTTGTAAGCTATATTAAAAGCTACGATTTCAGTAAAACACTAAGCTAAAAATTACCTTGGTATTCAGGCACTTGTTCGCCTGCTGCCTCGGCATATAACTCCAGGAAAGTGTTAAGTGCCTGACAGAAGCGCGCAGCCCTCGGGTCGTTTTCAGCTGCTGCAGTACACAGTTGCGCTGGCGCACCGTTTACGCAGTTAGCGAAAAACACTACCACCGCGCACCAAAGCGCTAAGCGGGAAAGTTCACAGATTCTGCAATAAATATATAATAGTCGTTTAAAAAGTGGGTAAAGGTGAATAGGTGGTTAAGTGGGTTACAGTCTTGGTTCAAAAAAGGTTTTATTCGAAGGCCTATAAATTCGATTGCCGGGGAATTAATTATTTCGGTTTGGAAGCTTGGAATGTCGATCCATTACACCGGAAAAATTGTATACAGACAAAATTGTCTTACCAAATAATATTAACTAAATAGTCGTATCTAAACCATATAACGGACTTAATTTTTAGTTAATGCTTGTTTAAAAGAATCACACGAGTCTTCGTTGACAAAAAAAAAACAAAACCTTAAGGTTTTTAACAATAAAAAACTTTAACAAATTGATCATAATAAAAAGAAAAAAATTATAATAAATAAATCAGTGCCGCTACAACCTTTTTAGGTCTGGGCCTCAGATTTCTGAATCTGTTTTATAATTATTTGTCATAAGTCCTGTGCCTGACACACGCCATCGACTTTTTGGGTCTAAGGCAAGCTGGTTTCCTCACGATGTTTTCCTTCACCGTTCGAGCGAATATTAAATGCGCACATACAAATTCAAAAATCATTTAATCATATAGGTAACACATTGTACACTTATGACTTGTCAGTAAAGAAATACATATTAATGCTTCTAATTTTACATTTAGTGCCAGTTCTCAAATCAAGGGCGTAGAACGGAAGAGAAGAACTGGCAATAAACTCTCCGCCACTCTTTTTAATCGCCATGTTTTTTTTTACACAACGTTTGTAAGGAGCTGCAACCATTAAACCATGTTCCACATGACATCTTAAGTAATTAATAATAATAACATAAATCAAAAACAAAGAGTAGTCTTCTATCAGCAGGAGGCATGGTGAAATAGGAGCACGCACTTACATTCTCGTGGGAACAACACGCAAACACATAGTCGAAATAATTAACATCACCGCATACACGAATTCAAGTACGACCAGTCACCACAAGTAGCACCCGTTCACGAGTATGAAAAAGAAAGTGGTGTACAGCCGGGGATCGAACCTACGACGTCAGAGATGAGAGTCGCAAGCTGAATCCGCTAGGCCAACACGGCTCTAATAATAATAAAATAAAGAAAAGCTAAAATACCAATGTTCAAATAATAAACGACAAACGTTATCAAAAGGTTTTGTTAATATATGAAGAATTTATCTGGGCTTATGCTATGCTATGAAAAAATGTACCTATTAAAAAATATAGAGCACAATTTTGAAATATTTTAATTAAAGTTTACGTGCAAAGGTTGAATATACCTAAAACTAGCTCTTCCACAGTAAATAGAGTATCGCCGTTTATGTACAATGATCTCACGTTACAGACATGTAACAAGCGGAACGCAGTCAAAGAAGTATCAATTACTAACAAGTGTATTTTAACCTTTGAGAAGCAGATTTATTTTAGAAAAATATTGAAGTACCTAAGCTATCTCAGAAGGCATATCTATGTGATGATGATGAAAAATCCATTGATTCAACTCTGGGGTTGAAACGCACGTCTTTATACCACCACACGCTTTATAAATAGGCGCAAATCACCCAACAATATTGCATGCCCATTCAATGTATTTTTAAATATATTTTCCCTCCAACAATTGACAAAGGTCAGATGTAGAAATTCCGCGCCAATTCGTAAAATAACACGAATAAAGCAAAACAGAGGAATTTAGGTTCGATCCGTAAACAATGAGATGCCCAAGTGCCATCCGAAACTTATTGCTTTTTGTGTTAAACGATATTTAATACATTCTTTATAGCCTTCTAGTTTCGACGAGGCCCCTTGACGTAGGTGTACGAGTATATGTGTTATACAAACCGCTTTGTTTTATTGAAATAGAATTGAACATTTAGGTACTTTAAAAGCGCGATTGGTCATAGCTATTCGTTTTATAAGCTTCGTTGAAGATTCCAAACGTTACTAACTTAAAAAAAAAATTGATTTTATTTTGGTTTAAAATAGTATTATTATAGATACTTTTTTAGACACGTAGCTATCAAATTGCTATAATTAAAAAACTTATTAGATGAAAGTTTATTTATTACATTACGTCAATTTACAATCTTAATTGAATTGAATGTTAAAAGCATAAGTGTTTGTTGTTGTTGTTAAAATAAACTTACACGAGATAATAGGGGCCAAGTATAAGTTAGCGACCGTTAAGGAATTTCAGGAATTCTTTGTGCTCTAGCTTAACTTACTTTACTCTTACTAAGCATGTTAAACTAAAGTTTCAAGTTTAACTTAGTAAAAAGTGTTTGAATGTACTCCGAAATTTATCGGAGTGTAGAAATACCTTTTAGTTTAACACTGTCACACAGAAAACTAAATATATACTGGCTATAAAATTATTGAATTAGCACTGTAATAAACCGTGTAAGCTTTTCTTTCATTTTCATGGATTTGATTGTAAGGCAAGTTTCTAATCCGAACAAATGATTTGCTTGGAATCGAATATAGAACTTCTAAGTTATTTATAACTATTCTCCGCAATAAGCCAATCTAATAAAAATAAAGATTCCCCTGGTGAGTTGCGTGCAGCGATGTTGCGGGCTATTTGCTTTCTAACACAAAATAAAATATGTAAAACCATTTTACTCTATTTCTATATTTATATAAAAATATTTGATGATTTCGACGTCAATTTCTTATGAAACTCATTATTATCAAGCTTTATTAAATAAAACCATCATGTATACGCTCGTATAAGTCACAGTGTTTGTCGAAACGAGCTCAAAGCTTTTGAAACTTCAAAAGCTGCCAAAAATACTGTCCACTAATAAAGCGTACAAAAGCGGCTTAAGCTGTTGAATCCAACGGATTTTGCTTAATTTGTTTGAACTGACTGAAATTAGGTTTCTGTGGGACGATCAACAACTTAATACTGTTAAAAGTTTTTTAAGTATGAAAAAAAAGATTGACAACTTAAATCTCTTACAACAGAGTATTTTTAGACCTAACATAAAAATATTGGAAATTTGTGACATAGGGGAATCTAAATCGCAGTTCACTTGCGTTAATCGAACGCGTGGTAAATATATAATAGTCTTCTTCGATAAACGGATAAAATTAACGAAATGGTTTAATTCAAACCAGTCATGCCTCAACGTTCAACCAAATGAGCTCATTAACTTTATAATATTAAAATATAGTGGAAAGTTGATGCTTTAATTTTGTTATCGTTATCGTTTGTGATCGTTTTTTATGTTCAGCACTTTGGGCTAATATTTTATTAATTGATCTCCAACTTAGCTACGTCTTCATTATTATTACGCTACATTATTTAGTCTCGTTATGAATGTGGAATTATGAAGACAACTTCCCGCGACCGTCTCATTGATTTTTAACCCCAAACGATGGTCCCAGTTTTAATCAAAGCCAGGTTTGCAACTGAGCCGAGCGCGATAAGCCTAAGATACGTTTGTTAAAACGACCGCTTAATGTTCTTTGGTAAATTAAAAAGGCAAGAAAGTTTTTCCTAAAAATCTGCAACTCATAAGAGCGCAAACAATTAAGGATTACTTCACTAAGGAGATAATTTTTCTTCCAAAATTTGTATATATTTCCATTGTATTGTATCTCATTGACGGGAAAAACAATTATTTTATAGACATGTTCTAAACGAAGTAATCTTAGATCAGATTTAAAAGAGGTTAGAATATTTATTGCTATATCTAATATATCGCTTTTTACATTTATAACATTTACAAATGTATAAGAGTTGATGTCACGAGGTACTCAGAATTACTCACAAGAAAAATTACAGTAAACCAAGCAACAATATGAAATTTGTCAATTTGAATCTCGTTTCAAAGGACCACCAAACAGGTATTTCTTGCGTACATTCCGACGATGAGAATGGGAACTAATTGCATAATTTCGGGTTCAACCTGCTTTAAGCAACTGTTATTAACCATTTTAACCAAAAAAATATAATTCTTGTGTCTTTTTATCATTCGCTGGATTTGTTTGAATAAAAAAAATACAACATATAATTTACTGAAAAAAATTATCACATATGTTAGTCTGTGTTACTTTTCATAACTTGCTTATTGATTTAAAATACATTTTCAATTAAAAATAACGCGTATTAAAACATTACTAAAGAGAGTACGATACAAAGATCTCGGGTTTATAAATAATGGAGTATCCCGGTAATATTTCGGGTTAACCTTCTCATATTCAAGTAATTATTAAGAAAATGATGTTGCGAATGCGATATCTTGGAAGTTTGGAACAGTATCTAAAAGTGAAGTTGATTTTAACGTACTGTACGTAATGTTTGATTTATGAGCTTTCTCGACTGCCTTAAGTAGGAAGAAAAATATCAATGTAAGAAGGAATTGTAGAATAAATGTATTAATTTAGAACGTGTCTAGTAATTTGGTAATATAAATGCGACTAGCTCTCGCTTTTGACAAATTAATAATTTATTTGTCTATAATGTATCATTAAACGGTCAGAATTGATTTGCATAACATAATAGGTTTTGCAAAGTGCATCGAGGGAACTCGTTAAAACATCATTTTAGTAAAATAATTATTTTATCAATATGAAACTGAAAGAGAGTTTTTGTTTTTAATTATCACATTAAAAATCTTTACATGTACAGTCTTTACTTGAAAACCACAATTTTTTGCCGCTATTACAATGACTATACTAGTTATGCCCTGCGGGGTCACCCCCATTAATTTGATCGTTGCGTGACCTTATATAAGCCCATAAACTTCAATAATTCTAAGTATCCACTATTTATTCAATATATTGAAGTTCACCCACAATCTTATATCTCATTCACGCCCTCATAATATATGAGGTAAACATAACGCACCATATTCGTGTCGATTTCAGTCACTGGTTTTTTAAAGATGACTTCAGATTCTCCAAATTTTCATGAGGTTTATCACAGACCTTCCCCTCTAAGCCCTGTCATAATTTCTGGTCCAAAGGATTAAGGTCCGGACTGGAGGAAGGCCAATCCTCATGTCTAATTAAGACGATGTTTTGACGCTCAAACCAGGCTTTAGTGGTCTTGGCTTTGTATGCAGACGCAGAGTCCTGCTGGAACACGAAGTGATGTCCCGCAAATAGGGTGCTGGACATGTCTCTGACAAGGCGATACACAACCGTCTCTTGGTACACTGTAGCACTGGTTTTGACCCCCTTTTCGAAAAAATTAACCTCAGTTAGCCCGTAATAGGACACTCCCAACCAAACCATTACTGATGATGGATGATGTCCATGTTGCACCCTTGGAACTTTATTTTCAGCTTCTTCAGAACTCCTAGCGTACACTGTATAATTCTGTTTATTGTACTTCTCTTCAATATCGAAAAAATTTTCGTCCGTAAAGAGGATATCACGGTGTCGGTTTTTCGCGTACCGCTTAAACAACACCCGCGATCTCTTAAGCCTTATTGCTTTTAGACGAGCATTAAGTAAGTGCCCACTCTTTTTTTGTATGCTCGTAGACCAAGATCTTCATTTAAAACCTTTTTTACTGTTTTCCTACTGACACCCATCTGCAAATCCATCAACTTCTGTTTTCGGACAGGATTTCTTACTATCCGCGCCTTGATAGCTTTGATTACTGCTGGTGTTCTTGCGGAGCGTGGCCAGCCAGTTCTTTTCTTGTCCTCAACACTGGAGACTTCAAGGTACCTATCAATAGTACCGTACACAAACCTAAGCGTTATATTCAAATTTTTGAGCAACTTGAAAATGTTACTCGGCGAGTGTCCACAGCGGTGCAACGCAATAACAACTATTCGGTTTACTTTCAATGTCCACTCCATCGTGAAAAATTACGGAAAGTTATTGTTTTTTGTTTTAAAACAATAATCAAACATTCCAAAATAGAATGCAATAATTTTTTTATAAAATCCTGCTCGAAATGTAGAAATAATGTGCTAGTGACAGAACTTTGGGACCAACTACGTATATATGTTACAGTTAACACTAGTTTTTAGTTAAAACTCGTTTTCCCTAGTTAAAAATAGTTTTTACTAAATGCCTTTGTCAAAACTAGAAATAACAAGTGAAAACTAGAATTTACCACTGATATAATTCATTTTCTGATAAAACTAGTTGTCACTCCGAGCTTTAGTTACAACTAACACTAGAGAAACTAATTTGAATTTTGGGATTGAAAACAAGATAAAGTTTTAAAAATATTTATTAAAAAGATCTAGGGTATAGAAACATAGTACCGTACCTAGTAAAAAAAACTTACACTAAAGGAACATTTTAGGGAACATCAGCATAAAGTAGTTGCCAAGGTGACAACATTAATTAAAAGTAAATAAAATAATCAAACAAATCAACAGAATACAACCATAAAATTTAAAAAAGGAACATTATAATAATATTTTTAAGGGATATTGGTAAACATACAATAAAAAAATAATCAAACAACCTTAAAATTAAAAAAGATGACGATCTACTTGTTATTGCAAGACAAACTATCGTGGCATTTTGAATTACAAAGGTAGCCATTTTTCTTGCAGAGACACCTTTTTGACATACATCCTTTCTTACATACGCAGCGCATAAATCCCTGGCCTGTTCCTATGAATGCTTCCTTAGCAACAGTTCTCAAAGGTAAATTTGTATTAGGAACGTCTTCTTCATGCAAAAATGCCTTGGTCGGAACAGTTTTAACTGACTAACTTCGAAAAAACGCGTTTTGTCTAGTAATAACTAGTTTTAACTGATATTCAATTGTGAGCATTAGTTAATTCTAGTTTTAACAAAGGCGTTTAGTAAAAACGCGTTCTAACTAGGAATAACGCGTTCTATCTAAAAACCGGTTTTAACATTATATATATAATTATCGTGACGCCTATTTATACGCTTTATATATTGAAACTTGATTGAAATTTATTACGGGAATCATATTGTGTAAATATAAACATTTTCCTTATTTGAAGCACGTCATAGCGCCTTAAAAAGCTCATGGTTGTTTCCCGGACGTAGTAGTGTATTCTGACTCATCAGGTACCATGTAAAAATTTTGTCAAATCAATATTGCTCAGTACATATTTTTACCATACGTTCATGCTTTACAAACAATGTTTAAAAAAAAATTTGTTGTAAATAGTCCAGGAACTAGTTCTTTATACATTACGGTATATTTGACTTTTAGCGTATCCCGCTGAATTTATATGTTTTGACTTAATGGTATTTGTATTCAATTTAACTTCACGAAGAAATTTCAACATTTCACATCAGAAAAAATAAAATGCAATTATTTATTTTGTTTTCTTTCCATACATTTATTATCTCAGATGTTAAAATGCTCGCTATGGATCCGGCTTGATCGTAATTTGTTTATTTATAGGTCGTCGTAATAAATTATGTAATAAGGTCCAATTTATCAATCATCGACCCGCATAATTGCCATAAAGTATCTATTTTATTACTTAAAGGGATGATAGCGCATTTCACTTATTAATATGAGCAATAAAACATATATTTTACTGTGACCGTGGTTCGTCCACGACCTGCTAGATTATTATCTCATGGAAACATAAAACTCTCTTTTTCTCTATATTGGAAAAAATCTTTGCATTTATCAATAAATAAAACTATTAAAAACGATACCTGCATAAATTAATGTAGTACAAATTAAAATCAATATAATATACAAAGCCGTTAATAACATATCGTAAAGAAACACTATTATCTAAACATAAAGTCTGTCCCTGTTAAGGAAGAAATGATTACTAGAAAATAAAAATAATTCCTTTTATACTAATTGATTTCATTTCTTCCTTTTAATACGACGCATGTAAAAATGTGGTATTCTGAGTTTTTTCATGCCAAGATTCCATTTCTGATATCAAATTACTTTTTCAATGGTGGCTTTTATTCTCGACATTTTCACATATGCCTTTTACTCATTTACAACCCTTTACTCATTGCGTTTACTATTTAGTCATTGAGATAGAACTACAATTATGAATAATTCATTATTATCAAAATGTGAACGCAATTTAGAATTTGTGACGCAACATTTTTCGTATTTAAGAAAATTAAATAGTAGATATAGTTTGTGTTTTAAGAATTAACAATATTATTTTGACAAATAAAAAATATATAACCTTACCTTTTAAACATTAATGCGGTCCATTAAAAACATAATTATTATACAAAAAATCACTTAACACAAGCATCTTTTTCCGCGTAATAGTGTTGTACTATTTTTAGGACAAAATATCGACAATAGTCGAGCGAATCAAGCGCGCATCCAGAGGCAACTGGAAGCTGATTTGGGACCCGCATTCATTTATCTCCAAGACTTGCCCGCATTTTAGGGATGCACTTTATTATCGAAACTGCAGATCGCAATAAATCGATAGAATTCCTTGCACGGACATCAAGATAGTGAAATCGGAAAAACAACTGGATTATTCAGATGTTTTTAGGTGTGAAATTTGCATACAGTAATAAAAACCGAACTACAGTAAAAACAGGAAATCGATTCTGAATTTGAAATCGTCATGAGCCGTTTTGGGGTTTAGCGGCTCAATTATAGACGCTTCTTTCTCTAAAAGAAATCCATCGACGACTTTATTTGACAGATGCAATTTATTATCTATATTAAGAATCGATAAAAATAACACATCACTCGTTGCGTACGTGCAAAATTGCACGCAAATGGTCTATAAAGTACAATAAAACGATACATCACTATTCTTATGCACCCGTTTCATTAATCTTCTTTGATACTTATTCTAGACCTTATAGTGTTAGTAATAAGCTTTTGAAGACTAATGTATAGGTGCAACCTAAATTAGACTTTAATTGAAGCATGGTAGCGTTGGTTTTAAGATTTTAGTAAAGTTGTACAAAAGCTCTGCTGTTGAATGAAATACAAATTACAATTGATGGTTTTGCTGTGGTTTAAAATTAACAA